CTGTGATCTTCCCCCATTCCACTGCTACTCTCTCCCAAAGCTCCCATACTCCTTTAGGGGGGTTTTCATAGGCTTGAAGCTTTTTCTTGAGTGTTCCCCAGAGATGTTCAATGACATTGACATCAGGAGACTGTGCTGGCCAGTCAAGAACATTGATGTTATGTTCTTCAAACCATTCCCTAGCTCTTCTGGATGTGTGCTTGGGATCATTATCCTGTTGGAAAATGATATCTTCTTCATCAATCCCTGATTCTGCCAAGCTAGGCAGCAAGTGGTCATTTAAAAATGTCCACATACTGCTCAGCATTCATCTTCCCCTCAACCTCAGCAAGCATTCCCACACCATTCCATCCCATACAGCCCCATACCATTAAAGAACCTCCTCCAAACTTGACAGTCCCATTAACCTCTCTGTCTGTTAGGCCATCTCCCTTCTTTTTCCATACATACACCTTCCCATCTGACCCAATCCTATTGATTTTGGTCTCATCTGACCATATAACATGCTTCCAGTCCTCTACAGTCCAGTGTTGATGAGCTAAGGCAAAGGCTAGTCTTCTCTGCCTATGTTTGATGGAGAGAAGAGGCTTTTTCTTCTTTGTTACTGCCTTGAGATGAGCTGCCTTGAGAACATTCCTCACAGTTTGTGAAGAGACAGGGGTAGTGATGGTGGAATTGATATAATGGGTGGCTTGGACAGCATTATCAGCCTTTCCTGTAGTGATATGTTGGATAATAGCCCTTTTGTCAGTAGAGGTAAGCTTGGATGGACGTCCTCCACAAGAGTTTTCCTTGTCTGGGTGGCTTTCTTTGATGAACTTGGCCACAGTGGACTTGCATATTCCAGTTCTAGAGGAAATTTGGCGAGCAGAGAGGCCAGCATAAGACAGAGAGAGGATATTATCTCTTTGAGCAGAGGAGATGGCTTTCATGGTGATTATGACTATGATACATGAGATATTCTGGTTTATATAGTTAGATATAGTCATAAAATAACATAATGACACCACTTTATAATTTATATAATAGTGGCATGATTTTTATGGTGTCATAAATAATGATTTATATAGTTTTAATATACACTCAAAAAACTGTCCACATGAGTCATCATTTTATAAGCCTTATATCTCCACCATATCTCCGCCGATTCCCACGGTGTAGGGCTCAAATAAAAGCCCTGAAGCCATACTACAATGTGGTATAAGTATGTCCTTGAGGAATTTGTTCATTCTCACACAATATCATAGATAGTGAAAAATGTCAAAACATGCGGACAGTTTTTTGAGCCACTGTATATTAAAGATCACACTATCATACTACACATAGGTATGACTATTGAAGACATGATGTAGTGCCTTATGATGTGTTTTTATGTGTCTCCTGATGTGTTGAGAATGTCCTACATTACCTCATATGTCCATGTGAGGCCATATGAATTCTGTGACACTCCTGACATTAAGGGCTATCCACATGTCAATGAACACAGTCATCTAGGCCTCACATTGAAATCATTGAAAGCATCAAACTCCTGATGCGAAAATATGATCCAAATTCTGAAGGACCCCTGAGAGTGAAGGCTATCTGCATATCAATGCCTGAAAGCATTGAGGCCCGACATCAAAATCATTGAAAGCATTGAACTTCCAATGCTGAAATTCACCTGATATATAGTATTTTGCTCCTATCTCACTCAAATCACATCTGTTTGAGATAATCAAAATTCTGATGGACCCCTGAGAGCAAGGGCTATCTGGGTGGTAATGCCCGAAAGCATCAGGACACTCAGCACTCGGAAGGCACTTGGCACTCGGCACTCGGCACTTGGTACTCAGCACTTGGTAGTCAGTATATGGGATTGTGCATATATCTCACTCAAATTATATCTGTTTCAGACAATCTGAATTTTACCACACCCCTGAGATCGAGGGCTATCTACATGTCAATACCCAAAAGCATTGAGACCCGACATCAAAAACATCGAAAGCATTGAACTTCTGATGCCAAAATTCACCCGGTATATAGTATTTTGTTCATATCTCACTCAAATCACATCCGTTTGAGATGATCTAAATTCTGACGGGCCCCTGAGAGCGAGGGCTTTTAATACCCGAAAGCATCGGGTCACTCGGCACTCGGCACTCGGCACTCGGCACTCGGAACTCGGAACTCGGAACTCGGTTCTCTGCACTTGGCACTTGGTACTCAGCACTCAGTAGTCAGTGTGTGGTATTTTGCATATATCTCACTCAAATTATATCTGTTTCAGACAATCTAAATTTTGCCACACCCCTGAGATCGAGGGCTATCTACATGTTAATGCCCGAAAGCATCAAGACCCGACATCAAAAACATCGAAAGCATCAAACTTCCAATGCTGAAATTCACCCGGTATATAGTATTTTGCTCATATCTCACTCAAATCACATCTGTTTGAGATGATCTAAATTCTGACAGGCCCCTGAGAGCGAGGGCTATCTGGGTGTTAATACCCGAAAGCATCGGGGCACTCGGAACTCGGAACTCGGAACTCGGCACTCGGCACTCAGAACTCAGCACTCGGCACTCAGCACTTGGGACTCGGCACTCAGCACTTGGGACACATTAAATCACATCTGTTTGAGATGATCTAAATTCTGATGGGCCCCTGAGAGCATGGGCTATCTGGGTGTTAATGCCCGAACGCATCGGGGCACTCAGCACTCGGCACTCAGCACTCGGCACTCGGAACTCAGAACTGAGCACTTGGCGCTCAACACTTGGGACTCATTCACCCTGTATCTTGGATTGTGCATATATCTCACTCAAATCATATCTATTTAAGACTATCTAAATTCTGATGAATCCCTGAGATCTAGGGCTATCTGCATGTCAATGCCCGAACGCATCGAGAGCCGACATCAAAACATCGAAAGCATCGAACTTCTGATGCCAAAATTCAACTGGTATATAGTATTTGCTCATATCTCACTCAAATCACATCCGTTTGAGATGATCTAAATTCTGACAGGCACCTGAGAGCGTGGGCTATCTGAGTGTTAATACCCGAAGCATCGGGGGTACTTGGCACTCGGAACTCGGAACTCGGAACTCGGAACTCGGAACTCGGAACTCGGAACTCGGAACTCAGAACTCGGCACTCAGCACTCGGCACTTGGTACTCAGCCCTCGGTAGTCAGTGTGTGGTATTTTGCATATATCTCACTCAAATTATATCTGTTTCAGACAATCTAAATTTTGCCACACCCCTGAGATCGAGGGCTATCTACATGTTAATGCCCGAAAGCATCGAGACCCGACATCAAAAACATCGAAAGCATCAAACTTCCAATGCTGAAATTCACCCGGTATATAGTATTTTGCTCATATCTCACCCAAATCACATCCGTTTGAGGTGATCTAAATTCGGATGACCCCTGAGAGCGAGGGCTATCTGTGTTTTAATACCCGGAAGCCTCAGGGCACTCGGCACTCGGAACTCGGAACTCGGCACTCGGCACTCAGCACTCGGCACTCGGCACTTGGCACTTGGCACTTGGCACTTGGCACTTGGCACTTGGCACTTGGCACTTGGCACTTGGCACTTGGCACTTGGCACTTGGCACTTGGCACTTGGCACTTGGCACTTGGCACTTGGCACTTGGCACTTGGCACTTGGCACTGGCACTGGTACTTGGTACTTGGTAGTCAGTACTCGGTGATTCGAGTCTCGAGACTCGAGACTTGTGATTCGCAAGTCAAAATTTGAAACTAATGTGTAGTATCTTATGTATTTCTGTACTCATTTCACTGACTACCGAGTGCCGAATCTCGGGTCTTGGGTATCAGGTCTCGGTACTCGGTACTCGGTATTTCCAGATGACAAAAATGTATATCATCTTAAATTTGAATTTTCTTAACTCGTAAAAATGTATGACTTTCCAGTTGGGTTTTGAATTTTGAGTTTTGAGTCTCTTGAGTCCCGAGTCTGGGTGTTCAGGGCTTGGGTTTCAGGTTTCAGGTTTTGGGTTTTGGGTTTTGGGTTTTGGGGTTTTGGGTTTTGGGTTTTGGGTTTTGGGTTTTAGTACTTGGTACTTGATATTACCCGATGTCGGCCCACCTGTCTATGTAAAATTCTGCACTTCAGCCCACCCGTCTATCTAATATTACCCCACGTCGGCCCACCTGTCTATGTAATAAATAATTCACCTCACCCTTGGCCCACCCGTCTATCTAATATTACCCCACATCGGCCCACCCGTCTATCTAATAAATAATTCACCCCACCCTTGGCTCACCCGTCTATCTAATATTTCCCTACATCGGCCCACCCGTCTATCTAATAAATAATTCACCCCACCCTTGGCTCACCCGTCTATCTAATATTTCCCTACATTGGCCCACCCATCTATCTAATAAATATTTCACCGCTCCCTCGGCCCATCCATCTACAAAATAATACTGATACGTCGGCCCACCCGTCTATATGATACTATTTGCTATACATCTCTCCTCAGGTCTATAATATATGTCAATCCTACTCTACATATTACCCACATGGGCCCACCCATCTCCATAATAATATTTCTCCCAGCCCATCTGCTATCATCGATGATATATATAACATCAGCATAGATGGGCCCACCCGTCTCCATCGGAAATAATATTCCTCCCGGCCCACCCGTCAACATCGGGTATATACATAACATCGGCCCATAATCCGCTGGCCCGTATTACACGGGATATTATGTAGGTCGGGTGACCCATATAATACGGGATTTGTCACTGAAGGGCTCACTTGAGAGTGTCTAAGTCCGAATCATTCGTGAATGCGACATCTTACCTAGAGTTTATGTTTAACCCTTCCGACGAAAAAGACTAACCTAATGAAGTACCTACCAAAACAAGGCATGAAAGTAAAGCACGAGTGAAAAACATTGAAGTTGACCCCTCCTCGGATGCGATCATAACTTGAACTCCACGATCACTGGCATGATGAACCTACGGCAACTAAAAATATCAAACTACTCAGAGTTACTGTCCGGCCAATCTATGTATGTGTCCATCATAGTGTCAAGTGCCAGTGACCCTGTTTCCAAATTACTAGATGCAGACTCGGACACCACAGCTGCGTCACGGTCACCATCATTATGTTCAAGCTGAGACTCGGAAGCGGCCACAGCCTGAGCAGCAGCTACAACCATGTGCGACACATCACACCAATCCCAGCCATCTGACTCATCGACCGTTGCATCAGATTTGTCTGGTCGGATGACCGTCATACCATTCACAACAACGAAGGCAGTTCCCTGCAGATGGGAGTTTTCCCACATAGCCGCATCATTTAATATATGCGGCAATGGTGAAAGCCTGTCCACCTCAGACATGGTTTCATCTGGTATAGTTGTGTCCTGAGAGTAATATTCGGTGAGGTGGTGATGACTCTCATGACGACTCAGAGTCCCAGTCATGACACGATTGTCCGAGGAGGTCACGGTAGTTGCAGTGGAGTGCATGGGCAGGTTGGAGGACTCGGAGATCTCAGCGATGTCAGTGTATGTGCTAGAAAGTTGACGATGACTGTAGTCTGGGCTTGTGGTGCAGCCCAACTCGAGACTGCCGCGGTTACGGCCACCCGCCGTGACGGCCACAGCTACATAGCACTAAGTTTTGGCTCTTTAAAAACAAGACTATTGCACCTACATCCACCTTCAAGTTGACCACTGCAACTACTGAGAAGCGACTCGGTCCTGGCCGCAGCATGATCGTCAAAATGGTGATGAACAAATTGACCGAACCTGACGGCTGACTGGAGCCATGTGTGCGAATTCCGCGATGCATTGTGAGAGTAAAACTGAAATTTAATCGGTTTTGTCTAAGAGAGGTTCAAAGGGAGTGGTAGTGCCAGTAGTAGATGATCATGATGATCCAATGGTCAATCAGTATTCAAGTTGTGCCATTGAATGATAAGAAAAAATACCTACCCATTGCAAATTGGCTTCAAGCACAACTCCAATGGTTCTGAGTAAGTCAAGGCTTGACTCAAGTCGAACTTAAAGCTTCATGACTAAAGTTCTACGGTAATGGCCGCACTGCAAGCCATGAGGATGCTGACTATATGATTTGATAGCCGCGTCATGGTGACGGTGGCTTTGAGTACGGTGTGAGTCACGTACTAGTACGCTGTCACAGTACTCAGTGAGTCCAGTCTTAATAAACTTGAAGTCTGACCATATGTACTCCGAGAGTCACTGGCACTGGCAAGACTCCGTTGGCAAGGGCAGAAGTCCAGCCTGAGGTCGGCCCAGTCTGAGTCATGGTCACCACTGGCATGAGTCACTACTTGAAGTTAGACACATCACAATAACTTCACAAGTGACTAGTACTCAGTGGGCGCGCCGACTCGGAGTCAGGCCCGGCGGGACATCGGAAGTTCGAGAATCTGAGTTCACTGCGGCCTGTGGAACAGCGAGCAGTGCCATGACACAGTACTTCAACTTCAAGTTGAAGCTCGACTTGGAGCCCAGCCTGAGTGACTCGGAGCGGCGCTTGTCGAGTCGATGTCAACTTGAAGTTCAAGTTAGAGTCACTAGCCTGAGTGACCACCTGCTACTGTACTGGTAGTACTCGGAATCAGGCTAGTGACTACTAATGGTAGTATGACCGTCAACTGTGAATTGGTCCAAATACTAGTAAGTTACTAGTTGAAGTCTGTCACCGTCACGGTAGTAGTACTACTTACCATGATCCTGGCATACTCAGAGTAGTATCATCATGATAATACGAACTTGAAGGCAACCGTGACAACTTGAAGTACTGGAAGTTCCACCAACTTGAAAGCTTCCAAATATTGATGAAAGCTCATTTTAGTAGTCATGATAGCCAGGCGCCCTTCAGTCACATCCGAGTCCGCATTGATCTTTCGTGACCCAGGTGACTCGGACGAGTCCAGACATCTTCAAGTTTGTCATGACTCAGATACTCTCTTGTTGCAGCTTCCTGCTAGTAATATAATATCTTGCCTTTCCAGCGCTCAAACAACCAACTGTCCAGAAATCTTCTGCATTAGCATGAATGAAACACATATAGTACAAGTTGACCACAGCGGCAGCCGCGGCTAACTTGAAACTTTGGCAAGGCTGGACTCAGACTCTCACGGTAGAACCGACTATTACTAATATATTACTAATCATGGCCTAAATTGAGTTAGAACCTCAGGCATTTCCCGAGTGATTGATCATTTCTTATCACGGAACATCTATCTATCCCGATTCTGATGTGACCTCAAACTTCCACACACACACCACACAAGCAGCTCCACTTTACTGTCATGCCAGTGTCTACTGTAACTTTGGCCAGCACTGGCTCTACATCTGGGCTCTACAAACACTATAACACCAGAAGCAATTCTATTGCACAACCCACACCTCATCCTGTGACCAAAAACAAGCCCACAGGAAATATTCAAAAGTCCAAAATCACTTTGAAATCACTCACTCCAGTTTTACAACTAGATAAAACTGAGTGTGCAACGACCTCCAAGACATCCTCAACCCCCATCCAAGGTGCTCAAAGGGACAACTTGAATCTCAAATCAACAGTCAAGTTGCACTCCTCTGCGGCTATTGCCGGAAATCCGAGTTCGGAGTCAAATCTTTTGTGTGATGACTCAGAGTCGGATGATGATAGCCTCCAACAGTTCATTCATTACCATCATTTTACCTCAAGTATGTTCTGTGAGAAGTAATGAGTTAAGTTGTTCTGACTGATGTTCAAAGATGTGCGACATGTTTTGAAAGAAATAACCGAATACACTTTAGAGACGGGCCACATCCTGGTGTGTAGCCGCACTGTGCAGATATCGGAATTCCCTTGCTTACCAAATATTCAGGAATTCTTCGGTATTGATGCACGGGAATACAAAGTCATAGAGGAAGCACTAGGAGAGACGGGCCGGGCATTTAAGCCCAGGTGCGTTACATCAATGTTCTATCTGTTTAAAGTAAATATACTAATTGGGCCAGACTGTCTTATGATTACGAAAAGCAATCTCTCCTTGTTAATATGCCTAGCGCCATCCATGAAGCACCGTTCGATTGCTTGAAGCTCACCCTTGGACAAACCATCACATCACTTCCCTATGATCATGATACGATCTATCCAATGATCCACATGAATTCGTCACTGAAGGTTAAACGCAAAACGGTGACTCCAGACATCTGTCTCACCATCACACCATCAGAGGGCCCCACCAAAATCAAGTTGATTCCCTTTTTTGGGGAGTGCATGTGTTCCGAGGACAAGAAACATGCAATCAACAAACTCGCCAAGACCATCCGCGCTCATCCAGATATCAAGATGGCGGTCCTGGGATTAGTTCGCGAAGCGCAGCCCTACCATCGTCCTAAGCGTGATTCCCATGCGTGGAATTTCTTCAGTACAGACCCAGAACCACTTCCACTCGAGGAGTTCATCACAGAACACTTCCCATCATGTTCATCCATAACGATCACCGGGCATAACTGGTGTCACGTTAGTTCTGTAGAATTTTTGGTATGGGTTCAGGGAGACGATGAAGCTGCTATCGATCTTAACAAAGAAGACGCTGAACACATGGCATACGGTGTAAGTTTTTATTTTATCGAATGATAAACCGACTGACAGTTCCAATCTCGATCCGTCCAGACACTATTGCCTGACCTTAACATGGATGCCGTCAAGGTCATGTTTCAGCTGAGGATTAGAGAAGATTCAAGACAGTTTGGTCACATTTTCTAAACAGCTCGATCCTAGCATCGACTGTACTGAACTCGAGAAAGCTCCCATCACGTTTTTACCTATCTGGAAAGACTACCTCATAGCGTGCAGAAACGGTGCAGATGTGACCGCCTGGACGAGGGTACATGGTCTGGTACGAAGAGGTTATTAGTGACCGCAAGAAAAACCCCAACGCCTCTGAGGCATCGGGCAGTCGGTCTCGTGGACGCCCCAAGCGCAAGCGCATCTCTTCCTCCTACTCGGAAGTCAAAACGTGCGCTCCAGTAGCAGCCTTGTACTAAACGGTTTCTGTCGTTCTGTGATAGATTCTTTCGTGCACCAGTTTTAAATGTTGTGTAGTCTACGTTTTCTATGACTTAGAAGCTTTCCTTTTCGCTAATTCGGGTCGCTTTGGATTCTACAATGATACTAGTAGTACCGTACGTACAAGAACATCATGATAGCACTCCTGTACTAGTAGTAAGTAGTCACGGTTCGTAGCCAGATCATGTTAGAAAGCATGTAGCATAGTTCGCAAATGGAGTGCGATTTGAACGCTATCGATTATCAAGGAACCACTGGCACTCCTAGTAATATCTCGATAATGTTGTAGGACGGCCCGGGACTCCGAAACGTTTGATCCAATTCGTGTCAGCCATCATGCGTGACCATGAGCGCCACTACAATGCACTCCCGGCCATATGTCATCGCTCCTTTTTCTCCTACCTTCAAGTTGACGTTCCTGTTCTTACTATGTCGGTACGCCCCCTCAGTCATTCAAGGTTATCCTTGACACTGGCCCGGTGTTACGAACTAGGATGGTTCTGACGTATGGCTACTCGATAAGAGTAATCGGCCAAGGTCGGTTCAAGGCTTCGGCGTATACCGAAGTTCAATGTTTCTAAGACAAGACAAGGAGGGTGTCCTCGACTTGAATCAAGTTCAATACGACTTAAGATTGGAGGTCTTAAGTGAAGGAAGTTCCAGGTAAAACCTAGTAAGATAAAGTAAAGAACTACATAGTACAAGACGAGTTTATATAGTGAACGGTAACGACTTTAGGGCCGGTACGATGAGGTTATGGAGATGAGTCAGAGATAAGACGAGTCAGAGATAAGACAGAGTCAGAGATAAGACGGAGTCAGAGATAACAAGAATAGATCATCTAGCGACGGCAAGATGTGATCATGATGTAATACAATGATGTAAGAGGGAGAAAATGAATAGGGGCGTACTTGACTGTAACACCCGGGGTAAGGAAATTCCCTTTTATTTTTTTGTCATGTGCTTGTTGACTCTCTTCTAGGTCGACTCGTTCTTCTTTTGGAACTCAGGCTCTGAAGCCATTGAAGCATCCCTCAAGATGGCACGACAAATTACTGGTCAGCAGAACATTATCGGCATGCAGGGTAAGTTGGCGGTGAGTACTCGCGCAACGCAGAACTTATGAAGAATTTCCGCCATCGCAGGTGGCTATCATGGTCGAACGTTTGGTGCCATGGCTCTTACGAAGAACAAGACGATCTATCATGAAGGATCCTTTCCGTTGATGGTAATTTTTGTGTTCAGGACATTAGCGACAGGACTAACATCATTGTAGCCTGGGGTATTCGCCATACCATTCCCGTACTGGCACCAACTGGGATTACCAATCAATACAAGTGAAGAAGAGCTCGTCCGACTCTCATTGTATCAACTAGATCTAGTTCTCAAACAACAAACAGCTCCCAGGGACACAGCTGCCATAATCATCAAGCTTGTACTTAGAGAGGTACAGAGTGTATTCGGTAGGACTTGCAAATACTTCAATGTTGAATATAGTGGTGTCCAACCCGATATCCTGACAATCGCAAAGGTATAGTGAATTTCTGCATTAGTCATGGCTGATTGAATCATTGATTGACCAAACTGAAGTGATCGCCGGTATTGCGATCAGGGTGGAGAAGCTGGCTTTGGGACCCACTGTAATCTCACAGATGGACGCCCTTGACCATTTAGAACAAGCCTTTCGACAAAGAAGGATGGCCCATACTCACTACTACTTCACTGGATAAATTACCCATGGCACTCTTGGACGACTCGGATGCGTCCAATCTTAATACTCGAAAGGTAGGTTCTAGCAAAATTTATATTGCTTGGGGGCTGATATTATGCAGCGATCCCATATCGTCATGGTATCAGAAATGAAACATCTCAGTGAAACCTTTGGACTCAAGGCTCAGCACAAGAAGGCCTAGGATTGACGTCGGCATTGTCGAGGAATAGGCACAGCTGCAGCGGAAGACACAGGACAAGGGGCCAAGAGTCATGTTCTAGAATTAGGTGCCTCATCGCATGGCAATTCTCTCCGGTCAAACATGTTCTGACATTTTAGTAGCGCAATATATTGATTCTCCGAGCTGCGAACCCACGCAGCGCAGACTATATTGAACCTATTTTTGCCAAAAGAATGTCAAGACGCGTACATGGGGAGCTGTACAAGTTTATCGACTCTTCGGACGTTATCCTGCACATACTTGATGCTCAAGACTTCCTTGGCACCATGTACGAATCTCTGCTCGAGTACATGAAAAAAGAGAAAGCGCACAAACATGTTCAAGCTTGTCGTCAACAAGTAAGTTTGTACCCAATTGAGTCGCAGCAAGTCCTTAGTGACTTTGTGTACGTCTCCCTGCTGAATGTGCCACAGGCAAAGTATATTCAACGTCCAACACTTCAATACCCTACGATTGCCTTTCACGCACCACCCAATCACTTGTTCGGCAAGGACTCTTCGATTCAACTCCTTTGCCAATTCTCCCAGCTTCATTCAGATCAGAAACAAATTTCCGTTGGATTTGTTGGATACCCAGACGTAGGCAAGAGCAGCGTTATCAATGTGCTGAAGAGCGGTAAGGTCTGCCGCATTGCTCCTGTACCAAGAGAACCAAGGTACGCGCCAAGAATGACTGTTAACCCTCCTAACCTAACTTAAACATGTTTCATGGTCATTCTTATCGACGCAGTTATGCTCATAGACTGCAATGCCGCTACTATGAGACCCGATATCCATTTGGCGACATCCCTGTTCGCCACTCATGAAATTCAAAATACAATTTGGATAGTCAACGCATGGCTGATGATTGACCGAGGCCTGGGTACTTGCCTTCCTCCTGCCGAAAGGTCGGAGTCGCTGGCCCGGCACGCTGGTACTACTACCTGGCCGCAGGCCCGGGCATTCAGGTGCGGCGGATCCAGACCCTTCCGACAACTTGTTTGCAACTGCTTCACACACTGACAATTATGAGAATTCACTTTTTTTGGAACTAGCCTGTGAACACTGTATTTAAAGGTGGCTATTTCCAAAGTCTCTCCCATCTCACTTCGCCTCGCTCTTTCACTTCGCCTCGCTCTTTCACTTCGTCTTGCTCTTTCATTTCGCCTCACTCTTCCTTTACCTTCCCTCTTACTTTTCCTCGCCTATACCTCCCCTCTCACCTCACCTTGCGTTTCCTTTACCTCCCCTCTCCTTTACATCACCTCGCCTTTACATCACCTCACCTTTCCTTTACCCCCCTTCCCACTCTACCCCCGCGATGACTCAGACATCCCTCGCGTCTGCTGGCAGCACTCCCGACTCAACTGTGGCCTCATCTGATGGTGAGGTGAGTTCCACAGGAAATCAGCCTGTGATACACCCAGATCCGACTCAACCCATGCTTACGTCTTCCAAGGCAAGGGCCAAACGTCGCATTGCCGCCTTGGAAGAAGAGCTCGCGACGATGCGGCAAGAAAATGGAGGTAAGCAAAGGTAAGTGTACTGTGTTGCTAAACACACTTACATTGGTATTGATTGATTTTTAAAGAAAGACAACCTTCTACGTGGCACAAGGCAGAGCGATTCGTCGACTAGTCATCCTTTACCACAACTTGGAGGACTTGATCGCCGAAAACGATCGCAGGTATGAGTTTCGCTCGTCGGCGGAATCAACCACGGAGTAGGTTGTCGGTTTTTTTTTTCCAAAAAAATGATTATTCTAGTTCTATGGTACAGGCAAGATCGTTCACAGCGTGGCTACATTGAATGCTCGCAGGTGCTACCGTGGTTTCACGAGAAGCTTGGGGACCTTGACCACGAAGATATGGAAGACATGTTGAAGAAGGCCAGCAATTTTTTTTAACAAAATCACGCGCTGCATACTAATTGTTTTATAGCTCAAGAAAGGAGCAGATGCAGCTCGCGGCAACGATACCTCCAGTCTTAAGGAGCTTGTCGCTACCTGGGTAAATCAGGAATTTCGCCCATCTCCTCTAATCAAGCCAAATGACAAGCATTTACGCGGCTTTGCAAGTGATATCTGTGGGAAGTTACTCTGCCCTGCTGAGTGGGACTGTGTCATATACCATATTCCCGGGTACAGATCCGAAGATCCGGATCTCAGATCCGATCCAGATCCGATGGACATATCCGTTGTCTGGTCCACAGATCTGATCTAATCCTTGTTTCATGTCCTGTTCATATAACTCTAACTATCGTTCATCTCCTTTCGGCATTCCTGTACACCGGTATACCGGTTATCCTTTACTTCTGTTATGCTTACTGATCCACTACACTTACTGATCCGCTTTAGCTTAGACTTCATTCCCGGTTATGATTCGTTATCCATCCGACTTACCGATATGCTGTACACATACTTTGCTTATACTTCGTACATAGCCTCGCGTCCTTGCTTATTGATCATTCCATTAGTTATCCGTAGTATATAAACCCTTGTACATGCGCTGTAGTAGATCAGTTCGAATATCATCTTAGATTGCACTCATTCTGTCTGGACTCTAAGTCCCTCCGTTATCCATCCAGACTTGAGTACAATACTCTTGTCTACTCCGAGACTTAGGATTGATTCCTATAGTCTATACATCCATCTCTGTCTTCAGACAGTCCTCACCCGTTAGTTTCTAGTTCGGATCCGATCCGGATTAGCCGTTACTATATACGTTCGATATCCAGAAGTCATAACGGATCTGTTACGAGACTTACCCGTCTCAATATACGCGATACTCTAGTACTCTGAAATAAGGGGCAAGACTCGGGAAAGGGGCACAGCGCACGAGCTGAGGCCGAAGCCCTTCGGATCCGATACCACTTGAGTATGGTCTTAACAGACTGGGGAAATGATAGGTGATTGCCAACCCTTTTTGACCATCACAGGCATTGATGCTGACCCAGTGTCAAGGTTGGTATTTGCGACAGAACGTCAGAATACATTGTGTCAGAGAACTCTTGGCCATTATTTGTATATGAGAACTATCAAGTCAATCGTAACGACCTCGAAGAAGGTTTCCTCAAGTCGAAGCTTCTGGTTCTGGTTAGTGGTCACGGTATATTCATGATACCATCTTTGCTCATTACACTCCAGGCTTTCAAAGCCATCTTCACATCACCTTCCTCAGCAAGGGAAGCTGAAGGTGATGGTTATGGAGCTGATATTCTCGAGAATAGCAGGCACGCCCGGCGGAAATCTGAACAGATGAAGGTTAAAACATGCGTCACTTCGATCATTAATATGAAGAAAGTCACGCCTCGTGCTATCGCTTATGTTGTGTGTCAAGTGAGCAATTATTATTGTTATTATGTCCAGTGTCTAACCTTACGAGGAAGGTTTGTTTCGCTCTATCAAGTGTAACATCTTGGCATACTGTGGATGGCGACTTCAACTATGAAGCATTTTGGAGCAACACTGTAGACTTTTTTGAAAATGTCCCTGGCCCTGTCATGAAACGCAAAGTGGATAAGCTTCTCGAGTGGTGGACTAGGTAAGGACTTCGTCGCTTCTTTGGATGTTCGGATTATTGACACCGCCGTTTAGGAAGATTTTTGGAACAAATCATTGCAACGACCTGACGCCCGATGTTGTATCTCAGATGTTTGTCAATGCACTAGCCGAACAGAGGAAGAAGCTGGAGGATGCCGCTTTTGACTCAGAATGATAATACACTTTTGTTTTTCCCGCCGCTGTTCTTTGTCCATTACACCTATTCCTTTGCCCGTTAACTTGTTATAGTCTATTGCGCGTAGTAATCCAAGAATTCTGCATTCATTAAAATCGAATATTACAAGCAACAGCTGTTTGATATCAGAGACCATTAGTGCGACAATTGTCAGTTGGATTTTATACTGTTGAACAGGCTAATCGCTACAGAATTTATTGCAACGTTCAATGCTGCAAACTAACAAAGAAATTCTTGATTCATCCGACAATAGCGACGACTGCGCTAACAGAAAGATGGCATGTGGCTTCGCGAACGGCCATCAAAAGGTCTTGAACTATAATAGCCTTTGTCGAGGAAGTCATGCATGATCTCTGACTGGAGTGGGTCGGTTGGCAGTCCAAAATCGCACCATTCATCATGCTGACTACTACAGGATTTGTTACAAGGCACAGTACTACCCCGGCGACAAGGCATTTCTCCCTTTATACGACTGTAGTATAGACTGCGCCAAAAAATATATGTTGCATAGCCGCACGATCAAACCGCCGAAAGTTATCTGAATGCAATTCACTCAGCCGAAGAGGTCAATGACAATATGGATCTGAGTCAGATTGGTTGACATACCCAAAGAACAGAGGTGCATCGGGTGGGTGAAGGAATTGTGGTGAACATTGGAGTATGAAAATACAGTTCAGTAGATAGCGGAATTGGTGGAATAAATTGCTTATCTGGTATGACCTGTTCTCATGATGAGCATTTGTGAATCGCTCAAAATAGTACCCGTCCGAGCAATGGTATAATGTAAGTGCTATATCAAATAATTGACATACTTCGTGATCTCCTTGGAACTTCATGATCCTGCTCGTCAGTGTCCATGTTGTGAAACACTGTGCTACCCCCAATCGGATGAATTTAGAATACTAGTGGCCCACATTATTTGTCCTTGCCAAAGCTGCCCAGGATGCTCTGACTCGCTCCGCAAAAGCAATTTGATAATCAAATACCATGATGTTAGTTACCAGAGGCTTTGCCTGGTAGAAGAATTTTACTGTAGTGTGCAGAATTAGGAACTTACCTGAAAGTCTTAAGCAGCATGGCAATATCTCGTTCCATACAGCGTTCTGACCTATCAGTTTTTGAAAGTCCAGCGTTGCGGTGAAAATTTAAATTCTCAAATGTCATAACCAAACTGCACTCATACATACAAGACATGATTTCACAGTTTTCAGCATTGCACAAGAGCATCTCACCCATGTGAGTGGGGACCTTGGCCCTTTGTCTCGACAATTATGATCCAAAATTTACAGCATTGGCTCGTGTCACAGCAAACTACACTCGTTCACGTAAGACAAAAAATTTCAGTTTTCATCATTGCGCAAGGGCATTACATCAATGCAAGTGGGAACCTTGGTGGTTTGCTTCGACAATCATGATCTAGAATTCAATTTATTGACTCGTGTCATATCTTTTGTCCATAGACCAGTGTACATATAAAACGGCGCATCGAGGCTAAGCCAGCGTGGCTGGCTAACTTAAAAAATCGCCTTTCCTTCACAAGGTCAAACATTGCAAAGTAAACCCCCCCACCAGATTTATGGAAATTGTTGCGATTGTTAGCTATATATAGTTATTTATGATATTCTAGTCTGTTCACCGGTTCACTGATGGAGGATTTGGCGGGTATCTGGGCCAGAAGACGGACCTAGAAGGACATTTTGTTAAAATAAATGTCATAAAGATAATGCGCATTAGACATACCGGGGTATATATGGATGAGCGAGGCGTAGTATACTATGTAGAACAAGTCAAGCTTGATCGATCGATCGCGGAAAGTTCCGTTGCAGCTGTGCATGGCTTTCTTTTCATGCAATCATCCACTGCATGTCACATCAGCTCAATCGGACACGGATCATATATTCGACACTCTTGACGTCGTTTTCAGTAGTTTGCTTATAAGTACTGTTTGCATTGTGTACACATATGATTCTACTAACTAACCATCACATTGCTCGCTTCAACTTTAGACACACTCCTCAACTTGATCCCTAGTCTCATTTTGTTCTACCGCTCATTCCGCGTCACCCACAGCCTGTCCTCACCTGGTTAACACATCATCTTGGAAAGTCAACCTATCAGACTCGAAGGTGGGTCGGTCCATATTACCCTTCAAATTTGTTTGGTGATCCTCACATTGAATCTACAGTCACAAGCGAATATTTTCTCTATTTCCCCTCCTTCCTTACATCTGCAGGCATCTACGTGTCTATCAATGTCGACTCGACTAGACACTGCAAGTAATCTCTTCGAGTCCCGAGTCCCATCGTTCTGTAGCGTGGGCGATACCATGATCTCATAAAGGATTCCACAGAGACTTGTTTCCAGTACTCACCGTCCCATTACAGGTTACCAAATGAATCATGTAGGTTATCATCGGATGTCTTGAGTTGGCCTGAATATTGTGACATGGCAAAGTCATCAATAAACGGTGTCGTAGCATGACTTGCTCGATCATGGAGATGAACATTTGGGTACGTGGTCTGCTTTGCATTCATACATATCTATTTACCTGTCATAGATCAATCCTTTTTACCCATTCGTAGTGTCCACCCTTCTATCATGCTGAAGGTCGCTGATGTACAGATTTGCTACAATCAGGATACTAGTGTCGGCTTGATGTAAACGATACCGTCCACCACCCCTTCAGTTTTTACTAACAACATGTAATTTGCAGTCCATCCTTGCATGTACGTTTTCACATGCACATATGCAGGCCACATACGATTTGTCGCATGACAGGCAAGGCTAAACAATTCAATTCCTGTTTTTTTCTAGATCAGTGTCTGGTTGAACAATTTGACCGTGCCGCCTCTCTCACCAACCTCGCGTAGGCCCGCCTTCGACATTACATTCGCAAGGACCTTCATAATATTGACTCTACTATAGCCATATTCCTCGATGCGCTTTCATTGCGTCCGTGTGGCCACCCACTGATCATTCTGTATCTCCATGTCACCCGAAGTGCTGACTTGACGCTCAAAAGAAATGTACTGCGACTGGCATCCGCGAAGCCGCTCGACATGTATTTTTGAATGTAACAGGTAGAGTACATGTCAAACTTAACAACACCGCACTGATTGACCATTTCTACAGATGTGAGTAGGTTTTATTCGTGCGAGTCACGCACATACTCGTGTCGTCGGCCTATCGTAGCTTGCCCCCTTTGCCACTGCAATGCAGGTGAGTCTATGCGCCTCCCTTGACTCCCAGATCTCAAGTTAGCGTATCATTTTAATGCCTAGAACATCCTGGCCCGTCCAGATCACAATTCATCCAATAATTCTTGCTGAGGTTCGTTGCATGCCACGAAGCACTTATGTTATTCTAATGTCATTTGAAATTAGCTGGGACTGTCATCTGCACTCACCGGTTTCTCGCTACCTCACTATTCGTCTTCCCAATTCAAATGCGGTTAATGACAATGTGGCACCGGATCCACATTGGCTCCTAGATGTACTCGGTGCGTAACGTTGGAGCAGCTAGGATGAATGCGGATTCCAAATTGGTGCACAGGCACCATGCGAATGGTCGAGTACTTATCCTGCGAGGTTCTCCAATAACCATCTTACAGTGATGGGATCAGAAGCGAACAGACTTGCACCAACCGCTACGACCTTGACAGAAAACGAGGATGTGAACCTTAGCGTATGTTGTTAACTATTAGTCCGTACTCGTTCATCACACAAGAACATCCCAATTAAATGGCAGAATGCTGTATCATGTTCGAATCACCTGTACATTGGCATTGATTATGCCCCACCAAGTATGATGCCAGTGATTTTCGGCCCAAACATTCATGCACACCATTGAATCTCTGCTTGAAACCAGATACATCACGTTCTGAACGCCCTGATCGTATTTAATTTAGTTGATAGACGCGTGAAATAAAATTACAAACTGGAGAAAAAGTCGCGGCCGAACACCCCATGATCGCACTGTAGAGGGTGCAAGACGGTCCTACCTCTGCTGCCATTGATTCTCCTTTTGCTGGGTGATTCGGGCCCTAGAAAACCGTCTCAAGAAATCAATCTAATGAACGATCAAGTTCGTTATACCTGGGAGGAGGAACAACAGTTCGATCAAGAATAGTGTCCCCCTGTTCGCCGGCATAGATTGGCAGTGGTAGACCCAAGTTCTTCTCCTTTATCTGGAACCAGCGGAGGTAAAAAAAACCCTACATGCGGTCGTATTCCGTTATCTACACCGATGGCGTCCCCTTAGCGAAGGATGTGGTCAGATTTCACCAAGTCGATAGAATTGTAGCAAACAGATAGTTATTGCTTTTGCAAGAGAACACCAACGACATCCGGAGCCCGTTGTTTCGATCGACGCACCCTTTGCTTCCATATGCGTATTGTCTTATCATAACACCCGGTCGCTACTACCTGTTGTCCAGAAAAGTCGCAGTCGCGTTGATGGTACTTAGTTCTTTTGTGACCTTCAGACATCTTGACAGGGTCATGATATAACCGAGGCGGTTCCCTGTTACCCTTCCTTGATATGTTTTTTGCAGCGGCAGCGACGTTGCTCGTCATGCCTAACGGGAAGTCAGGGAATTCATAGGCGAGAAAGCAGATAACACACCTGTCGCAGAACTGACATGCACGAGGCGGTTGCTGCACTGCAACTTCAAGTGAATAAGATATGGAACATTTCATGAATATATGAATCGGAGTGATCCATCAGGATATGGAGAGTGCAACCTTAGCTTGGCAATGAGGATAAGTATTGCTGCGGGGCCTGAAGCAATGACAAGTGTATCACTTTAAGTTTTCAAAGTCTCGCTATTCTAAACAGCGCTTTCGCAGATTGTAAATGTCGAGGTCACGAACCTGTGCGACAAAGATATATAGAGTGCATGTCCTCCAACGTTCGAATGCTCTCAGGCAAGCTCCTCTCTGCCTTTTTCCAGATATCAGACTCATTCATCCGCTGCTCTTTTCTCCTACAAAATAGTATGATTTGTCGCCATCTTCCTCGATGTCCGGAAAATCGCCTGGTCAAAGGATACTGTTGGTGGCATGTCATTCAGTACGATGGGTCGCCCTGCTCAAGCTGTGGGTGGAGTGGGATGAAACGTCTATGCCGGCAATATAGATCGTGCACCACTCTAATTTCTTCTCTTCCGATTCAAGAAGACCTAATTGTAGCTCCAATCGTCAAGCTCGAACCGTAAGAGCGCGTGTTACGACAGGACGAGAAGTAATGGGAGATCCTGAGTAAAGGAGATGTGTGGAGGGTTGATGGGACTGTCCAACGGTATAAATATGTCGAATGGCGGGACTCGGATGGCTGCCTGCCAGTATCCCCTTGGATTCAAGTTTGACGGACAGGGATATTCCTACGGTGGACTTCGAGATTTTTGGTGCGGAAATAGAACGTAAAAACCATCAAACGAATGGCGAGATCAGATGTTAAGTGACCTACCCGGATCAAGCCTCCAAGTTACAATGGCAAGATTGAGAGGCAACACGGATCGATGATGAATTAAGAGGGAGTGCTGGTGGTATTGTCGAGGCGCTGAGCATGGAGTCTTCATAATGACCAAAGTAAAAATGAGGACAGGGATCGATAAGAACGGGTGAGTGAACCCATCTTTAAATTTCTATGATGTCGGACTTCCTTGTTTGCAGCGGTGTGAGTTGAATATATTTCATCGATCATCTTCGGCAATAACCGAAAAGCAAATAGCTCAACGCCCAGCTCACTCACTGCCCTTTGCTTGAGACATGCCTCATTCAACGGCAGACATAATGTTACCAGCCAGGTATCATAAAGAATTAATTGTCATGTTTGCAGCTCTTTTCTCATTCTGTTCCAAGTCTCAGCTGTTGGCACGCTTTTCGGCCGCTGCTGCATTCAGCTATCTCATATGGCACCGACTTGACATGTTCTCGCAAACCGTTCTTCCACAACACTCAATCATCCTCCCCATGCCACTATCAGCTTGATCGGGCAAGTCGTATAGAATCGTTCGGCTTTTCTGTCCTTGCTGTCTTCAGTGGTTGGCATCATTTCCATTTGCCATTACCTTGCGAAATACACTTGATTCTCAATTTTGTCTTTGTGTGCTAAATGAGTGATACGACTCCGTGATAAAAGTCCAGGAGCTGCAACCATTACCAGACGCTCTGAGACTCCTGTGTCCCATTCAACCTTGCCGCGCTACTTTCGCTGCAGACCGATCATGACATTCTCTACTTCTTCAGTGCAGGCTCTCCCGCTAGCACTACATAGCCGGCCGTCTTTCTCAGCGCTCAGTGTATCATACCAGCGTCTATCGTACCAAACAACCCTTGACAATATGGAAATACACGTGCAGCATGACCTGAACTCTCAACCTTTCCTCCGCTCCCTCTCAGCTGAACTCCATCCACATTCCCCATATCTCTACCCTCGTCTTCCCATCCCATTCATTCCGCCCACCGCGCGGCTCATCCTCGATCCACGTCATTTTGCTTCATCGCACCTTCATGCCCAGTAGCTCAGAAAGCCGATATATCAGACTTGAAGGTGAGTCACTACATATCACCTTCACATGCATTTCATGATCCTCACGCTCTATCTACAGTCATCAGCGGAAAGAACCTTCGAGTCCCTTCTGACCGCATACCCGCAGGGGCATACGTATCTATCAATGTCGACTCCCGCAGACGCTGGAAATCGTCCATCAGTGTCTTATCATCGGATGAATCTGTAGCGTGGGGGAATGCTGTAACTATGTAATGTCCATGGAGACTCTCTGACGCGATTCGAGAATTAATCATTGGTTTATAGATCATCGCATGCCTCACCTGCACTATCAGTGGAGATTAGGGCGTCCTATGAGGCCGGTCGAATGCTAGGCAGTGGAGAGCTCATCGGGAAACTTCAAATGTCGTGGGATAAGCTGCTCGATCATGGAGATGAGCCATTCGGTGAGTAACTTACTTCTCACTCACGCACATATACCAACATCTCATAGATCTATCCTTCCCACCCGTTCGTGGTGTCCACCCTTCCCTCACGCTGAAGACCGCCATTGTACATGCTTGCGACGATGAGGACAGCGCACTGTCTGATGTGAGTGACGCTGGCTTCTGCTGTTAACTTTTGCTGACAGAACACCAACCGTAGTCCCTCGTAGACAGTGAGATCGCTCGAGACACAGATGCGGGCCACGCACGATTCGCTGAATACGCAATGAGCGGGACGGTCTCTCAACTGAACGATGCTGTGCAGCATTTTCAGTTGGTTCTTGACCAGTGTCCGGTTGGCCATCCTGATCATGCAGCAGCTCTCACCAACCTGGCGGATGCCCGCCTTGAAGGCTATATTCAAAACTATCTTCAAGACATCGATACCACCACTTCCCTATTCCGCGAAGCCATTGCATTGCGTCCGCAGGGTCACCCCGATCACGCATCATCCCTCCATGATCTCATGAGAGCATTGATCTGGCGCTACAGCAAGGAGTCTACCGCCGTCTACATTCGCGAATCCGTGCAGCTGTGCTGCAAGCTACTGCCCCTCTGTCCAGAGGGCACCTACCTTCGTAACATTGGCGTAGATACTGCGGTCAGTTATGTTATCAACAATCTTCCAATCGACGCATCCGATGAAGGCATCCACCTTCGACGAAACATGCTCGAGCTCTCTCCTGTGGGCCAGCAACTCCGTCCAAAAGCACTTGACAAACTTTCATCGGCTCTCTCCACGCGCTTTACAGAACGCGGCAACATTGATGATATAGATGAGAGCATTCACCTTCGTCGTGAAGCTGTGTCTCTATGCCCAGAGGAACATACTGGACCATCATAGCTACCTAAACAACTTGGCCGTCTCACTCGTGCACCGCTTCGATCACCAAGGCAAACCTAATGACCTCGACGAGGCCATTTCTTTGTACGAAGAAGTGCTGCGCCTGCACCCTGTTGGGCACGAATCTCGTGATTTCCCATTGAACACCCTAGGGGGCGCCTTCATCACCCGTTTCAACAAACGTGGTGACATTGATGATATCACCCGAGCTATCAGCCTCTATCATGAGGCACTGACGTTGCGCCCACCTGGGCATCCGCATCGTGACACCACGCTCAACAACCTTGCCCTCGCGCTCCACACCAGACATAAGCAATTGGATGTCAGCGAGGATCTTAGTAACGAGGTCATTGATAAGCTTCGTGAATCCCTTAGGTTAAGGAGGCTTGACCATCCAGAGCGCCATCTAAATCTTTCCAATTTGGGTTTTGCGCTCTGCTCTCGTTTCACGCACACTCGGGAGAATGAAGATGTCGAGGAGGCCATTGATCTCTGCCAAGAATCACTGGCGGCTTTGCCTTCACTGCATCCAGGTAGGTATCTCAGCTACATGTGCCTGCAGGAGGCCTATTTGTCTCGTTACCGAGTGCAACTGAGCCCTCCTGATTTGTCACTGGCTGTAGAGAACTTCAAACTGGCATCGAGACACCCTACTCGGGGCTTTCCATCCCGCATTATAACAGCATGTAACTGGGTCGCCGCAGCAGAGCAACACAGTCATACATCTGTGCTGGAGGCCTACAACACATATTTTGACCTTCTTGACAATCATTTGGCAACACGATCGTCGACGACTTCACGGCAGGAAGCTGCCGCTGCCTTCCATTATGCCAGATCACTGCCCGTAGATGCAGCCTCATGTGCCATCCGCCATGACAATCTACGACACGCAGTTGAACTCGCAGAGCAGGGTCGTGGCCAGCAATGGTCGTTGGCCTCTCGACTCAAGACTCCAGTCGAAGACCTCGAGTCAGCAAATCCAAAACTTGCACACAATTATCTGGAGCTGAGCAAGCGCGTTTCCAATGCCGCCCAAAGTTCTGCAAATATCACCGACAGAGCTGCTGCTGATCGAGCAGCAACCAAGTACAGGAAACTTATGGAGCAGTGGGAAGCTGCAGTGGCTGATATACGTGATCTTCGGGCGTTCTCGCGGTTCCTGCTCCCGCCGTCATACGCAGACTTGCAAGTGGCAGCGCACCAGGGGCCGGCCATCATACTCATTGCCAGTCAATACTCATGCAGCGCCATCGTCATCTCGATGTCAGGAGACCCCCATCATGTCCCCTTGCCCTCTATCTCTCTCACAGAACTGACTAATCTCAAAGATCGCTTCGCCAGGGCAATACGACACGCGTCTGTCATGGGCCCAAAAGTACCGCGCAACGATCTAATAGTCCTCTTGCGAACAGTATGGGACGCGATCATGTTACCCATCGTCAATGTCCTCCAGCATGACCTGAAATTAAAATTCCGCTCTCGAATCTGGCTGTGTCCAACTGCAGCTTTCACGTCTATTCCTCTCCATGCAGCCCACCCCTTTCAAACAAGAGCAGATGGCTCTAAGGAGCCGTGTCTGGAGGATCTTTACATCTGTTCTTACACGCCGACACTTTCGGCTCTGGTCAGGTCTAGACGGATGATGAAGAAGCGTGTCACTCCATCCTTCGCGACAATCGGACAAGGTCAACCGGGTGCAGGGAAGGGCAAGGCGCTCTTGGCTGTTGACAGCGAGCTCGAGCTTGTCCAGAAGCTCGTTCCTGCAACTGCCACCCGTACCACTGTTTCTGGCGATGAAGCAACACGAGCAGGTGCACTCCAAGCTTTGGAAGAGAACACATGGGTGCACCTTGCTTGTCACGGCAAGCAGGACCCTACACAGCCTTACAATTCTCATTTCGTCATGAAAGATGAACATTTGACGCTGCTTGATATCATGGATAGAGACATTCCGCACGCCGAGTTCGCGTTCTTATCAGCGTGTCATACCGCTGTCGGCGATGAGGAGACACCCGACGAAGTCATTCACCTCGCGGCTGGTCTCCAGTTTTCGGGGTTCAAGAGCGTCATTGGCACGCTGTGGGAGGTCAACGATGCTGTCGCAAAACATGTCGTTGAAGCGTTCTACAAATATATGTTCATGGATTTGAAGGATGGTGCTGGTATTGTCATGGACTGTACGAGGGCGGCCTGGGCCCTCAACCGTGCTACACACGCCGTGAAGACGAAAGTGCCGCTCGAGCAGAGGATGGTTTTCATTCATATCGGTGTATAGTTCTCTTATGTCGTATTGCTTTCATCTGTAGTAGTGCTGCGCCTCTACCATACAAACTGGCGAATTTGGACTTTGTCATCCCTGCGTAGCACCCATCAATTGTAGGGTCACCCTCCTAGTCATACTGTTCGTGTTTTGCATACTCTATCGTGCTATCGTCTACTCTAGAGATTCTCACAAATTCATTCAATCCTCGAGTATATGCTCTTCCCGCATTATGCAGGGGGAACGTGGCAGGAAGGAGTACTATCAATCGAAAGCACAAGTGAGTTTAGCTCATAGCAAGACTGGCTTCAGCCCTTCTGGTCTCTACTCCCGATCCATAGTAAGGGAAGAACGACCACTACCAATTTTATCGCCCCAAAGTGCTCAGCATCGCGCAAAATAAGTATCTTACCTCAGAGATGAATTCCTTCTGCATAAGTGACCGAGCATAAACCCGCCAAAGGGAGTGAACCGACCTTTTTCAATATCGCAACTAGATCGCAACCAAGTTATCGACAAGATCCAAGGAGGCAAAGCTGTGAGATTCGGCGTCGTTTTTAAAGGGCGCCAATGCGCGACCATGATTCGGTGCATAACTGTCGCTTCAGGAGACTCTGTTTTTCCATGCAGGGTTTTGCGTCGGATGGGTGGGACTGAGGGCTATGTGTCATATGAACGTGGAAGAAGAGGAAGTGTAGACGTACTTCAAATACCCAACGAAGAGCATGAAACCGACTGAGCACCGTATAAGGGTTTACTTTTACGTATTCCTAGTACTGCCTGAGAATGTGGAGAGAGGACTTGTATTCTGCGTGCTGGATGGTTTTTATGATGAAGCGGTCATCGCGGACGAAGGAGAAGGAGCAGGTTGAGGTGAACTGAATGTGAGGGAGAGGAGATAGTCTGCAGGGTCGAGATAAAAACAGTCTTCACGGAGTCATAGAAGACCCATGGTGCGCATGCGTAGTCTTTGAAGTGTTTTTGCAGGGCCCATCTTCAGTTCAACACACAAAGGACTGATAAACACACCAAAGTTGCGGTCCTTTGCCTCGCTCGCAATCAATTTCTTCTCGAGTTCTTTGAGTTCTTTGGTTTGCTCACCCTTGGCGCCAGCACCGACCCAGGGCCACTGTCAAATAAACAGGAGCCAGACCTGCACCAGAGCGCACTCACGACTTTCTTCAACTTGACGTATTCCTCCTGCATGCGGAGAAGGTTCAACGTGCATGTGAGGTTGAAAGGAAGAGGTATAGAGTTGTCAAGTATGTGTTTCGCTGTGAGCTGGTTATAAAACGCGTGCGTCACGAAAAGATGAAAGGTGATGCGCTATAGAACCTGCGAGCAGCCAAGTTAGTATCCTGTCGTGCGTCATTCATACCCTGGCATCCTGTCTTGGCCATTTTGGATTTGGCTATTAGTTAGAAAACGCATCGGAGGGCGTCTGAGAAGAGGGTGTACACGAAGCTGCAGGGAGTGGGCAAGCAAGTAAGCGAGCGAGATATGTGAACAGTGCGAACATGAAGGAAATCTTTGAGTGCGTGAATGATTTGGCAAAGATGTAGCTTTCGGGCAGGAACCGGAATAGGTTTATGCGGACTCGCAATTACCAAGGCGGACACCATGTCCACACTCGCAGAGCACGTCAAAGACGGAGGAAAAACCATTGATTTCCTCCATCAATCCCTACCACCAGGCATGTTCGAAGATGCGGCACACCAAGTCGTGGACGTGCCACTGGAGCAGTATGAAAATAATGATCAAGGGCAGTGTGCTCGATTGTTGCAGGGACATTGTGATATGGTAGATGATTTAGTACAATGATACATATTAGAATAAGGTGGCAAGTGGGTTTTAGGAGGGCGTGCCTTGAATGTGTGTTTTGGGGCAGTTAGGGTCAAATGTTCATGGTTATAGGTGCTGCGGACGAGCTCCCGACAACAATGATCATGTGCTCAATGGTCTCTTTCTCTTCCCAATTCAAGATGGCGCTTGTAGCCCTCCTTCTGATTCCAATCGTCGAGCTGAAGCGCTCACGACAGGACGAAGAATTGCTGGAGATCTTCATAAGGTGAATAGATGCTTCAAAATATCGCGTGATTCATGTGTCGGATGAATCTGGGTGATTGTGAGTGGCTTTCGAGTCGACTTTGATAAACGGTCACATGGATATGGGTCTGTGGGGTGCGGACGGACGCGGGGATTTTTGCACTAGTTCGGACTTTAGATGATAGGTTTTGAATATCAGTAAACAGATAGCAAGATCGTATTAGCCCACCTTTGAGTTTGATAAATCGGCCCTCCAAGTTGTCAATGTCGAGACAAAGAGACGCCTAACAACAAGTGATACAGATATTGAGGTTGAGCTAAGTAGAAGGGACCGAAGAATGGTTGCGAACCGATCAGTTTGTCAATGCACTAGGCGACTGGACCAAATGAAGATGAGGAGTGGATCCATCGTACATGTAAGGGTATCGACGAAGATGAAGGAATCGATGGGGACGGTCCACCTTCCAAGTCAAGGATGTCGATGAGGCCTAGGCCTAGACGGAGATCAAATAGTATCAATTCACTTTTCAAATGCTCATACATTTACATTTCCAAGGTATATCAGCTGTGAAGACAATGGACAGGGTTATATATGGGAAGGTCCTGAAGACGGCGGGGAGTAAATTGAAATTCAAGAATATTTGAGTGGCTGTGCTTCTTTTTCCAGCTGGACGAACCAACAAATGGAATGGGCAACACTTCAATGTTTTAACGTTCAACGCGCCACGAATTGTCATGTTCTCGCAAACCGTTTCCTGGTGTTTTCACAACGTTCAATCCTCTTCCCCATGCCACGGCACGCTAAATTGGACAAGTCGTATATATAGAATCGTTCGTGCTTGCTATTTTTAGCGGTTTGCATCGTTTTCATTTACCTTACCTTCCCTTTGTCTGCTAAATGAGTGATACGACTCCGTGATAAAAGTCCAGGAGCAGCGACCATTACAAGACACTCTGAGACTCCCGTGTCCCCTTCGCTGCAGACCAATCATGTCATTCTCTACTTCTTTAGTGCAGGCTCTCCGCTAACACAACTATATATAGCCGACCATCTTTCTCAGCGCTCAGTGTATCATACCAGCGTCTATCCTACCAGCCAGCCCTTGGAAATACACGTGCAGCATGAACTGAACCCTTGATCAACCTCTCCTCTCCTTCTCAGCCGAACTCTATTCACAGTACTTCCCTATATCCCTACCTTCGTTTTCCCCCCTCATCCATTGCGCTCATCACTCAGCCCATCCTCGATCGTCGTCATTGCACTTCATCGCACCATCATGCCTAGTAGCTCAGAAAGTCAATATATTAGACTTGAAGGCAAGTCACTCTATATCACCTTCGTATCCGTTTCATGATCCTCACGCTCTATCTACAGTCATCAGTGGAAAGAATCTTCAAGTCCCTTCTGACCGCATACCTGCAGGCATTTACGTATCCATCAGTGTCGACTCCCGGAGACGCTGGAAATCGGCCATCAGTGTCTTATCATCTGATGAATCTGTAGCGTGGGGGGATACTGTGGTTCTGTAAAGTCCACGGAGACTCTGACGCAATGTGAAAACTGATCTTTGATCTATAGATCATCACATGCCTCACCTGCACTATCAGTGGAGATCAGGGCGTCCTGTGAGGCCGGTCGAATGCTAGGCAGTGGAGAGGTCATCGGGAAACTTCAATTGTCATGGGATGAGCTGCTGGGTCATGGAGACGAGCCATTCGGTGAGTAACTTACTTCTCATTCACGCGCATATACTAACATCTCATAGATCTATCCTTCCCACCTGTTCGTGATGTCTGCCCTTCCCTCACGCTGAAGGCCTGCCGTTGTACATGCTTGCGACGATCAGGACAGCGCACTGTCTGATGTGAGTTATGCTGGCTTCTGCTGTTAACTTTTGCTCACGGGACACCAACTGTAGTCCCTCGTAGACAGCGAGATCGCTCGAGACACAGACGCGGGTCACGCACGACTTGCCGAATACATGACAAGCGAGACGATCTCTCACCTGAACGATGCTGTGCAGCATTTTCAGTTGGTTCTTGATCAGTGTCCGGTCGGCCATCCTGATCGTGCAGCAGCTCTCACCAACCTCGCGTATGCCCACCTTGAAGGCTATACTCAAAACCATCTTCAAGACATTGATACCACTACTTCCCTCTTCCGCGAAAGCCTTTGCATTGCGTCCGCAGGGTCACCCAGATCACGCATCATCCCTCTATAATCTCATTCAAGCATTGAACTGGCGTTACAGCGAGGAGTCTACCGACGTCTACATTCACGAATCCGCGCAGCTGTGCTGCAAGCTACTGCCCCTCTGTCCAGAGGGCACCTACCTTCGTAGCGTGGGCGTAGACAGTACGGTCGGTTATGTGATCAACGCATGCAACAATCTTCCAATCGACGCATCCGATGAAGGCACCCACCTTCGACGAAACGTGCTCGAGCTTTGTCCTGTGGGCCATCAACTCCGTCCAAGAGCCCTCGCCACACTTGCACATGCGGTCCATGTACGCTTCGATCAACGCGGCAGCATTGATGATGTAGACGAGGACATACAACTCCTTCGTGAAGTGGTGTCTCTGTGCTCAGAGGGACATGCTGGCCGTGAGACATACTTAAACAACTTGGCCGTCTCACTCAACCTCCGCTTCAATCACCAAGGCAAACCTAATGACCTCGATGAGGCCATCTCTTTGCACGAAGAAGCGCTGCACCTGCGCCCTATTGGGCACGAATCTCGTGATTTCTCATTGGACGCCCTAGGGCTCGCCCTCGTCACCCGTTTCAACAAATGCGGCAACATTGACGACATCACCCGAGCTATCAGCCTCTATCGCGAGGCACTGATGTTGCGCCCACCTGGGCATCGATGTCGTGACATCATACTTCACAACCTTGCCTTCGCGCTCAACAGCAGATATGACGAATTGCATGTCAGTGAGGATCTTGAGGAGGCCATTCATTGGTATCGTGAATCCCTTCGGTTAAAGCGGCTTGACGATCCAGGGCGTGGTCTGACTCTTGCGAATTTGAGCTCGGCGCTCTGCTCTCGTTTCACACACACTCGGAAGAATGAAGATATCGAGGAAGCCATTACTCTCTGCCAAGAATCGTTGGGGGCTTCACCTTCACTGCACCCGGACAGATGGTTCAGCTACAGATGGCTGAAGGAAGCCTATTTAGCTCGTTACCGAGAGCTACATGACCCTGCTGATTTGTTGCTTGCAATGGGGAACTGCAGACTGGCGTCAAGGCACCCTACCCAGGGCTTTCCACTGCGGATTCTAGCAGCTTGGCACTGGGTTTCTGATGCTGAAGCTTCTTGTCATGAATCTGCGCTTGAGGCCTACTTGACATTTTTTGAGCTTGTGGATGCTCATTTGGCAACACGATCGTCGGCAACTTTACGGCGCGAGGCTGCCGCTTCCTTCCATGATGCCAGAACACTCCCCGTAGATGCAGCATCATGTGCCATCCGCTGTGACAATCAACGACACGCAGTAGAACTTGTGGAGCAGGGCCGTGGCCAGCAATGGTCGCTGGCCTCTCGACTCAAGACTCCAGTTGAAGATCTCGAGTCAGTAAATCCGAAACTGGCGCACAAATATTTGGAGCTAAGCAAGCGCGTTTCCAATGCCGCCCAAAGTTCCACAACCATCACCGACAGAGCTACTGTTGATCGGGCAGCAACCGAGTACAGGAAACTTACAGAGCAGTGGGAAGCTGCAGTGGCTAAAATCCGTAATCTTCGGGCGTTCTCGCGGTTCCTGCTTCCGCCATTGTATGCAGACTTGCAAGCGGCAGCACGCCATGGCCCGGTCATCATCCTCATTGCCAGTCAATACTCGTGCAGCGCCATCATCGTCCCGACGTCAGGAGACCCCCATCATGTTCCCTTACCGTCTGTCTCTCTCACAGAGCTGAATAATCTCAAAGATCGCTTCGCTAGGGCAATACGACACGCGTCCATTATGGGCCCAAAAGTACCGCGTAACGATCTAATAGTCCTCTTGCGGACAGTATGGGACGAGATCATGCTGCCCATCGTCAATGTCCTCCAGCATGACCTGAAATTACAATCTCGCTCTCGAATCTGGCTGTGTCCAACTGCAGCTTTTACGTCCATTCCTCTCCATGCAGCTCACCCCTTTCAAACAAAGGCAGATGGCTCTAAGGAGCCATGCCTGGAGGATCTCTACATCTGTTCTTACACGCCGACACTTTCGGCTCTGGTCAGATCTAGACAGATGATGAAGAGGCGTGTCGCTCCATCCTTCGTGACAATCGGACAAGGTCAACCGGGCGCAGGGAAAGGCAAGGTACTCTTGGCTGTCGACAGCGAGCTCGAGCTTGTCCATAAGCTCGTCCCTGCAACGGCCAAACGTACTACTGTTTCTGGGGACGCAGCGACACGAGCAGGTGCACTCCAAGCTTTGGAAGAGAACACCTGGGTGCACCTCGCTTGTCATGGCAAGCAGGACCCTACACAGCCTTACAATTCGCATTTCGTCATGAGAGATGAACATTTGACGCTGCTAGATATAATGGAGAGAGATACTCCGCACGCCGAGTTCGCATTCTTATCCGCTTGTCATACTGCTGTCGGGGATGAAGAGACACCCGACGAAGTCATTCATCTCGCAGCTGGCCTCCAGTTTTCGGGGTTCAAGAGCGTCATTGGCACGCTGTGGGAGGTCAACGATGCTGTCGCAAAACACGTCGTTGAAGCGTTCTACAAATATATGTTCATGGATTTGAAGGATGGTGCTGGTATTGTCATGGACTGTACGAGGGCGGCCTGGGCGCTCAACCGTGCTACACACGCCGTGAAGACGAAAGTTCCGCTCGAGCAGAGGATGGTTTTCATCCATATTGGTGTGTAATTCTCTTATGTCGTATCGCTTTCATCCGTCAGTGCACCTTTACCGTACCCTTGTATTTTTTTTTCCATTGCGGTGTAGCATTTTCCGATTGTAGGATCACCCTTCGGGTCATGTTCTTCCTGTTTCGCATCCCCTATCGTGTTATCGCCTACTCTAGAGTCTTTCGCAGATTTATTCAATGCTCGATTATATGTTCTTGGTGCATTATGCGCGATGTGCCAGGAAGGAGTGCTGTCGACCGAAAGCACCAGTGAGTTTGACTCATCGCAAGAGTGACCTCGATACTTCTCCTTTCTACTACCATTGTAAGGGAAAAACGACCATCTAATATCCCTCGGCCAGTTTAACGCTCCGGCCTGTGCTCAACTTCTCAAAGATAAAATTGCCGTCTAGTAAGTCCCTCATTGCACTGAGTACTGCCAAGGCAACAGAGCGCAACATAACACTGATATCCTTCTGTCTGTCCCCTTCGACATGCTCTACCGAGGGCTAGGATGTTCGAATGTCGAATATGCATCAACAGGTGTATGCACCAAGATTTTGGCCAGCGGGATGAATCATGCTCGTAAGCAGAATTCCATATGTACAGGCAAGACCCCAGTATAAGCCAAGGTGTTTTTTTACAGATAGTGTTTGAGCTGCTTCATAGTCGCATGTACACCCATCGTAATCGTCAAAGAGGCATCGATCTAGCCGTTGAAACGGAATGTCGGACCTACGACGGAGACAAGCTCTGCACACCGGCTCTAACCGTGAATAGCGAGATAGCCCAAGACACCAGCAAGCGTAGTCCCATGGAATATTGTGGTGCTGCGGCTGGCATCACAGTGAGCCAGTGTCCCTCGTTCTAAATGACATAGTGGCATAGGAATCCGATGCAATATTGTCATACAAGTAGTGATACTCTGAATGAATCTTGCAGGGCACGAGATATAGGTATAGATAGCTTTTGTTGAGTTTATTTTAGCACTTCTCGCGGATGTTAAACGTCGAATGCACGTACCTATGAGGCAAAGGCAGATACAAAACATGTCCTCCCACGTCCGAGCGCTCCTTGACGAACTCCTCTAGACCGTCTTCCAGATACGAGTCTCATTCATGCGCCGCTCTTCTCCCTGATATATTTTTAGTGCCATTCCATCTTTCTCGATATTCAAACACCAAGCAAAAATAGTGCGTCGCTAATCAAGGCATATTGTTGTTGGCATGCCATGGAGTTCATGATCAACTCCGTTCGGGCTGTGGTTAGAGTGGGATGAGAAGTCTACCTCGACGATGACAATGGTGTGACACTCACTTCCGAGTCAAGAAGGGCTGGTTCCAGCTGTGATTGTCAAGTTGGAGCGCATACAACAAGACCAAGAATCATGCGTATGGAAGATCTCGAATAAAGGACACGGGAACGCAAATTACAAAAATCACCACAAGCGCCACGGATCGACGATGAGCTGAGAGGGGGGCCGGGGGGTGCTGAGGTACTTCAATATGGTGGACTGGAGGTAAATATCATCGAAAGGGAGGCCGCCTTGAAAAGCTCACAGAGGAGAGATGAATGAGGATGCAGGCCACCTTCGAGGATGAGGATAGATATCTCGGCATCGATGCCCTGTTGAGATGTTCCGGGCAAGATGGTAGACTCGTGACCAGCCCCTCTATGAGGCAAACCGTCGATAGAGGGCCTCATAGAGGGGCTGGTCACGAGTCTAGCAAGATGGATGGATGCAAGGTTTGACCAAGGTCGTGAGGGAGGATGGAGAGGATCACATGATCGAGGATTTGGCGGGTATCTGGGCCAGAGGATAGAGGACATTCTGTTAAAATAAATGGCATAAAAGATAATGAGCTCATGGAGATTTATGATTAAAATTAGACGTACTGGAAGACTATAGTAGGCTAGAGCACGTACTTGCATGGGCGCCTTGATATATATATGATGGACAACAGGCCTGAAAGAGCAATTGCCATGATGAAGGAAATATTGTAGGGTGTATCGCAGCAAGCCTTTGCCGCGCTTCTGACGTCCTCGCGGAAAGTTCCGTCAGTCCAACAGTCTAAGAAAGTCGGTGGCACTGGCAATACTTTTGCTTGTTTACCAAAGATTTGATTGTCACCTTTGCTCATTCTGTTTCAAGTCGCAGTTGGCACACTTTTCGTCACTAGCTATAGTTATATTGTCCGCTGCTGCATTCAGCTATCTCATATGGCACCTGGAATCTGGATCCGACTTGTCCGAGTCATGCTCTTGCAAACCGTTCTCTGGTGTTTCCACAACGCTCAATCCTCCTCCCCATGCCATTATCAGCTCAATCGGACACTGAGTCATACGGAATCGTCCAGCTTTTCTGTCCTTCATCGTTTCCATTTGCCATTACCTTGGGCAATACACTCAATTCACAATGTTGCCTTTGTGCTGAATGAGTGATACGACTTCGTGATAAAAATGCAGGAGCAGCAACCATTACCAGACGCTCTGAGACTCCCGTGTCTCCTTCGACCTTGCCGGGCTGCTGACGCTGCAGACTAATAATGACATTCTCTACTTCTTTAGCGTAGGTTCTCCCGCTAAGACTATAGCCGGCCATCTTTCTCAGCGCTCAGTGCATCATACCAGCGTCTATCGTGCCAAACAGCCCTCGACAACATGGAAGTACACGTGCAGCATGACCTGAACCCTGAACCTCTCCACTTCTCCCTCTCCACAGAAATCCATCCACAGTTCCCATATCCCAATCCCTGTCTTCCCCTCCCACTCATTCCGCCCACAGCTCAGCCCATCCTCGATCCTCGTCATTTTGCTTCATCGCACCATCATGCCTAGTAGCTCAGAAAGCCGATATATCAGACTTGAAGGTAAGTCACTCCATATCATCTTCATGTCCATTTCATGATCCTCACGCTCTATCTACAGTCATCAGTGGAAAGAATCTTCAAGTCCCTTCTGGGCGCATTCCCGCTGGCATCTACGTATCCATCAATGGCGACTCCCAGAAACGTTGGAAATCGGCCATCAATGTCCTATCATCTGATCGATCTGTAGCGTGGGGGGATACTGTGACTCTGTAAAGTCCATGGAGACTCTCTGACGCGACACGATAGCTGATCTTCGGTTTGTAGATCATCACATGCCTCACCTGCACTATCAATGGAGATCAGGGCGTCCTATGAGGCCGGTCGAATGCTAGGCAATGGAGAGGTCATCGGGAAACTTCAAATGTCGTGGGATGAGCTGCTCGATCATGTAGATGAGCCATTCGGTGAGTAACTTACTTATCATCTATGCACTTATACTGACATCTCATAGATCTATCCTTCCCACCTGTTCGTGATGTCCACCCTTCCCTCACGCTGAAGGCCGCCGTTGTACACGCTTGCGACGATGAGGACAGCGCACTGTCTGATGTGAGTGACGCTGGCTTCCGCTGTCAACCTTTGCTGACGGAACACCAACTGTAGTCCCTCATATACAGTGAGATCACTCGAGAAACAGATGCGGGCCACGCACGACTTGCCGAATACGTGACAAGCGAGACGGTCTCTCACCTGAACGATGCTGTGCAGCATTTTCAGTTGGTTCTTGAACAGTGTCCAGTCGGCCATCCTGATCATGCAGCAGCTCTCACCAACCTCGCGTATGCCCGCCTTCGAGGCTATATTCAAAACCATCTTCAAGACATCGATACCGCCACTTCCCTCTTCCGTGAAACCCTTGCATTGCGTCCGCAGGGTCACCCCGATCACGCATCATGCCTCTATAATCTCATTACAGCATTGAACTGGCGCTACAGCAAGGAGTCTACCGCCGCCTACATTCACGAATCTGCGCAGCTGTGCTGCAAGCTACTGCCCCTCTGTCCAGAGGGCACCTGCCTTCGTAGCATTGGCGGAGACAGTGCGGTCAGTTATGTGATCAGCAGTCTTCCAATCGACGCATACGATGGAGGAATCCACCTTCGACGAAACATGGTCGGGCTCTGTCCTGTGGGCCAACAACACCGTCCCAAAGTACTTCATAACCTTGCATGGGCTCTCTCTATACGCTTTACACAATGCGGCAACATTGATGATATAGATGAGAGCATTCACCTTCGTCGTGAAGCCGTTTCTCTGTGCCCTGAGGGACATTCTGACCGCAGTGGCTACCTGAACAGCTTGGCCCTCTCACTCGTGTCCCGTTTTAACCACCAAGGCAAACCTAATGACCTCGACGAGGCCATTTATTTGTATGAAGAAGCGCTGCGTCTGCGCTCTGTTGGGCACGAATATCGTGATCACTCATTGGACAGCCTAGGAGGCGCCCTTATCGCCCGTTTCAACAAACATGGTGACATTGATGACATCACCCGAGCCATCAGCCTCTATCGCGAGGCACTGACATTGCACCCGCCTGGGCATCCAGGTCGTGACACCACGCTTAACAACCTCGCCCTCGCGCTCATAACCAGACATGACAAATTGGATGTCAGCGAGGATCTTAACGAGGCCATTGATCGGTATCGCGAATCTCTTCGGTTAAGACCGCTTGACCATCCAGATCGTCATATAAATCTTTACAGTTTGGGCTCGGCGCTCTGCTCTCGTTTCATGCACACTCGGGAGAATGAAGATGTTGAGGAGGCCATTGATCTTTGTCAAGAATCATTGGAGGCTTTGCCTTCACTGCACCCGGACAGACACTACTCCTATTTCAGGCTACGGGCAGCCTATATGTCTCGTTACCAGACACAGCACGACCCCGCTGATTTATCACTTGCAGTGGAGAACTTCAGACTGGCATCGCAGCACCCCACTCAAGGATTCCCAGAACGCATCTTGGAGGCTATTGACTGGGCTCGCCAAACAGAAGTCTATCAACATGAATCTGCCCTCGAAGCATACCAGATGTGCTTTGAGCTTTTCAACAGCCACGTGATGACGCGATCGTCGATTACCTCACGGCGAGAGGCTGCAACCGCTTTTTATGGTGCACAATCACTTCCTGTAGATGCAGCCTCATGTGCGATACGTAGTGGCAATCTACGACAGGCGATTGAACTTGTGGAGCAGGGCCGTGGCCAGCAGTGGTCGCTGGCTTCTCGGCTCAGGACTCCGCTGGAAGATCTGGAGTCTGCAAGTCCGCAACTGGCTCAACAGCTCTCGGAGCTCAGCAAGCGCCTATCTCATGCTCAGGGTTCTGCAGGCAGCGCTGACCCAGCTGCAGCTGATCGGGCAGCAACAAAATATAGGAGACTTACAAGGCAATGGGAAGCTGTGGTAGCTGAGATACGTGATCTCCAAGCGTTCTCGCGGTTCCTGCTCCCACCCTCGTACGAAGATTTGCAAGCGGCAGCACGACATGGCCCGGTCATCATCCTCATTGCCAGTCAATATTCATGCAGCGCCATCATCGTCCCGACGTCAGGAGACCCCCATCATGTTTCCTTGCCGTCTGTCTCTCTCACAGAACTGAATAATCTCAAAGATCGCTTCGCCAGGGCAATACGACACGCGTCTATCATGGGCCCAAAAGTACCGCGTAACGATCTAATAGTCCTCTTGCGGACAGTATGGGACGCGATTATGCTACCCATCGTCAACGTACTCGAGAACGTCCTCAAACTAAAGCACCGCTCTCGAATTTGGTTGTGTCCAACTGCAGCTTTCACGTCTATTCCTCTCCATGCAGCTCACCCCTTTCAGACAAAGGCAGATGGCTCCAAGGAGCCATGCCTGGAGGATCTCTACATCTGTTCTTACACACCGACACTTTCGGCTCTGGTCAGATCTAGACAGATGATGAAGAGGCGTGTCACTCCATCCTTCGCGACAATCGGACAAGGTCAACCGGGTGCAGGGAAGGGCAAGGCCCTCTTGGCTGTGGACAGCGAGCTCGAGCTTGTCCAGAAGTTCGTTCCTGCAACTGCCACCCGTATCACTGTTTCTGGCGATGAAGCAACACAAGCAGGTGCACTCCAAGCTTTGGAAGAGAACACATGGGTGCACCTCGCTTGTCACGGCAAGCAAGACCCTACGCAGCCTTACAATTCTCATTTCGTCATGAGAGATGAACATTTGACGCTGCTCGATGTAATGGACAAAGATATTCCGCACGCCGAGTTCGCGTTCTTATCAGCGTGTCATACCGCCGTCGGGGATGAGGAAACTCCTGATGAAGTCATTCATCTTGCAGCTGGTCTCCAATTTTCGGGGTTCAAGAGCGTCATTGGCACGCTGTGGGAGGTCAACGATGCTGTCGCAAAACACGTCGTTGAAGCGTTCTACAAATATATGTTCATGGATTTGAAGGATGGTGCCGGTATTGTCATGGACTGTACGAGGGCGGCCTGGGCCCTCAACCGTGCTACACACGCCGTGAAGACGAAAGTGCCGCTCGAGCAGAGGATGGTTTTCATTCATATTGGTGTGTAGTTCTACGTCGTATTGCTGTCGTCTGGTATATATTCACAAGTTGTTGATCTGCGATCCTCTTTCATCCTGATGTTTGTAAAAATGACCCTGGTATTCTTGCACTCCAGCTATCTCGGTTTCGTATGCTACTCTTATGTTTTTGTTGACTAGAATGTTGATCAGATTTCTTGTGTACTCGACTCGTTTGCAGCCTTGTCTTCTGCCTGAGTATTTAGATAGTACGAGCCCAGTCAACCCGACTCTCGCCTTCCATTTATAACATCTTTCAAGCTTCCAGCTTCAAGCATGGAACCTCGACTAGTAACCATCGCCAATGTAATCAACATCAAGTTAGAAGCAGGGCTTATCCTGCTCATCCGTGCAAACATGCACACCCATCGAAGTCGGTAGTTTTGTCAATCCCGGATGGCTGCTTCAAAGCAGCCGCATCTGTGCACTACTTAGCATCCGCTTCGACATCAGTGCTATTTTGCCAATGAGGCGAGGGTTCTGATACTCAGACATTCCCGTCGGTCGTCCGTTTGATCTAACATACTTTGAAACATTCGAGCTTTTCGACTTGGCGCTCGCGCGCCAGCTGAGCGAAAACCTCCAGTTCAAATAAATTGATTTGGGGCTGCCTACCTTCGGGTACCTCGATACACCAGCAGATACTTATGGCTCTCTCGACCGTCCATCGAAAAGCCGATTATCCAGTTGCCGCCGACCATCGAACCCGCCAGAAAGTCGCAAAAGAAAGATACATATTCACAGCTACACTGAAAAATTCAAGAAACATTAACACTGCATCTGTGACTAAAGCGTAAGGCTATAATCGTATTCGGTCTGCGCACTTTGTGCAATCCAAAGCACAACTGAAGACAGCATCAAGCCACGTTCTGCGATACGTTGGCATAGCCGTAGTATGTGAACTGTTCGGGGTAGTCCATCATGACGTATTTCAGCACGAGAAGAGACTAGATGGAACATTGAATATTTGGCGGCGTTCGAAAAAACATCGAGGCTCACCACGCTCCCCGCCAGTCCGCCAGCCATGAAAGCAAATCCGATAAACAGGAAAAGGCGTGCCCTCCACACAGCCGTAGAGTCTCCATAATCATCTCCTCTAATCCTATCCTTGTCGATCAAATTGATGATGAGCATGCCAAGGAGCGAGCAGATGCCCGGCACCCAATCAACGAACTGTACATGCACAGGAGGCGGGATTTGGGGGTCTCCATAAGGCGCGTGAGCGTGTGCAGACAAGATGGCGGCATCAAGGAAAGTCCAGTTTGCAAGTGCGAACTGCGGAAGGGCATGCAGTTAGCATCAGTGCGGTCGGTAGAAGAAGCGCACAGACCAAAGCGCCTGCGAGGTAAATGCCAATAGTCCGGCGATGCTTTCCGAAGTTCAAGTTGAGATCTGGAAATGGGTTTAAACACACCCTACGAGGGTCATAGTCTGAGCGAGGGAGCGACATGGGTGGTGGAGACAAGCTTGCAGTTGCAAGCTCTTTTGCTGTGCTGGTCACAGGCGGTCATCGGATCCGTGAGAAATCACTTGTTAATCAGCGAACAGTGCACATATGTTACATATTCGATTCTCATTTGTTCTGGTTATGGCGTAGCAGCGCCAGATCCTATAGCTAGCTAGACGCACCTCAAAGCATCAACCCATTATTATAGTGGACTCAGTGAATATTTGGAGCCTACCAGCCTAGGCTTCCAAGTCTTAACGTTTGGTATTTTACCAACCCTTTGTACCGGTTCAATATTTTAGGGTTAGGGTCGGAACGTTTCTGAGGAAACCGTCTCCGTGGACACCTCATGTCATGCAGTACCCTTACCTCGCCGCAAACGCCCCAGAGTGAAACGTTCATGGGAATCACACTTCTGCTCTTTCTTCCTACCACAACAACGCACTTCCTGAGTCAATTTAGCCCTCACATTCAAAAACCTTTCGTTCAGTGTACAGCACACGTTGTCGGAGGCGGGGTCTCCAAAGACTATATTCTGCTGCGCAACTCGGTAGGTACAACCGTAAAAATCTTTAAAGTTACAACAACAGGGTATCTTCGTGATGTGCGGGCGGTATGAATGGGGTGGGGGATACGTAAAATCGTCAAGAGTGGACATAAGTGAGGGATGGTGGTAGCGCACGAAGGGTATGGTGCGTGGAATGATGTGAGTATGCACATAAAAACGCATGTATAATTACAGCTAATTCAACAACGTTGTATCCACAGAAACCAAGATCAAATACGGAAGAAAAGGTGAGAGCGTGCGGACGTGGATGCGGATGTGATGGAGAGGTTATTTTACAGGTGTCCAATGAAAAGAAAGTCCAAGGCCGATGACGCCAGCATACATCGGTTAAGAGATCAGAATCCGGCAGATGCCACAAGCATGTTGTCGAAGTTGAACAACTGCTCAAACGTATCATGCCCTTGCGCCTCGAGTGGATATTGGTTTACCTCCATCGACGATGCGTCAAAGGAGCAAGACGCGTAGTCAATGTTGAATGCCGACGGGTGCTGGCTCATGGACACCAACTCCCCCCCGCATCCTGGCATACCGAGTTGAATTGGAGGGATAGCACTCAGGTCAAACTCGTCTCCGGCAAGAAGGTCGCCGTGGCTTTCCCACGCGCCCTGTCCTTCCCAAGAATACGACTCGGGGTATCCGAAGTGCACGTTATCCAGAGGCGATCCAGACATGGGTGAATCTATTTCTGCTTCATTCATGCAGGACGCACTGTCTAAATCACGCGACGCCTCGTGGAACGAGAATGCGGAAGGCATGCAATTTACGGGCGTATAAGGGCCGGTATGCGGGCCGGATGAAGCGGCTGACATTATCGACGACGCTGGGGAAACCATTTGTTGACTAGCGTGCAGCATGGACATGTCGGTGGAAATCGACAGAGGATGAGGCGCAGATGGGTTCTCGAACATCCCATGGTAGAATCCATTGGCCTTGGGCATTATCGTCAGCCTGAACTCGAGCTCGGACGTTAATCGGGTACTCACATCAAGGCCTGATACATAGGCGTTAGGGTGCGAAAACTGCTGTTGGGGCAAGAAATCGAACTGTGACGCTGATGAGTTCATTCCATGGTCTGGATGCGACGCGCGGCGGCTGATCATTGGCAACAGCGACGGCGATGTCGGACACGAAGGCATGTAAACCGTCGGAACTTGGATTGTTTGCCGAGTAGGTGGGGGAGTGGGAGCGGACGCAGAACGGCCATGCTTCATCACCGTCGGAGGCGACAATGGAAGCACAAACGAGATGCTGCTCTCACAATCTGTCTCGTGCTCAAACTCGCCTCGCTTACTCTTCTTCCCCTTCTTGTCCTTCGATCGCTGGGGGCGATATACGTAATTCGGGTACATCTGCTCGTGCTCCTTTTTCTTTTCCTTCGCCTGCTCTTCCCAATACAGCCGCTCCTCTGCAGAAAGCGCTTTCCACTGCTGACTGATTGTTTTTGACAGATCCGCCTGTCGCTGCTTCTTCGTTGGCGCGTCAGCGTATGCTGCTGATACTGCCTCCTCTTGAGCTTGTTGTCGCTCCTCACAGCACTTCCTGCGGAAGAGAATGAAAGCATTTTCAGGGCGCTTGATGTAATCTTCATCACCCTTTCTTGGTCTACGCTCGATGTCGCTGCATATCGACGACTTGCGGCGTTTGTGCGATGATGGGGATGCAGGGCCAGAAGATAAGGTAGTGAATGACGATGTCGAGGAGAAGACCGAAGTCGATCCTGATGATGACGAGGGAGATACAGGGGAAAGAGTGCGAACGAGAGTGGAGTGTGAAGGGGTGAGCGTGAGCTTCCGGAGATCTGGCTCAAATGGCGAATTAACAGGCGACGAGTAAGGACAGGTTTCGTTTTGATCAATAGGGAAAGTGAAGGCGCGCGGCGTCGGAGAAATAATAGCCAAGGTTGGCGGTTGGAGGGCGTCTGTAATCACCTCAAGTGCTGTTGAGGAAATAGAGGTGAGCGATTAGCGTCGAATATGGGGGAGCAATGAGCTAATTGTTGAATAAAGGGGCTTACATTGAGAAGGGGTATCGTGTGTGCGGAGCGCAGGCATGATTGTTGTGTCTCGAGGACCGCGAACAATGGCTGCTAAGGTGAGTGAACGGTTCTGAAAGGGGGGAAATAATGGGAAGGAAGAAGGGGGGATGGCTGATGATGCGGTAGAATAATAGGTTTCGCTAGGCGTGGCACGCGGTTACTGAACTGCTTTTCTTTGTCTCACAAAGCGCGCTATCGAGCAAACAATTGGGCGAGTGGGGCACACAAAGCGAAAACAATACGGACCGCCCGTTATATACCATGATCAAATCGAACGTCGAAAAGTTCCGTATGAACTTAATTCCTGGAGAGTACGCTTTGACTGTATTGGGATACTTCATTTCACGGTGGTCCGAATTTGGGGGAAACAATGAGAGGGAAGCAACTCTCCGCTTATGCAATCTATACTCAGGTTGAGACAGAATCACATCCATTTCGTAGCCAAACACCGCATAAACACATTTCTTATTGTCTTTTCGCCGAATTTGCTGGCTTCCTCGGCCGGCGATATTCCCCAAAATATGCACCAGACTATCTAATCACAGATTATTGACCCCGTTTTTCCCTCCCCTTATCTGAAAAATTCAGTACTGACTCGGTTGTATACCCACGCAGAATTCAGGTCTTCCATTTATCCCGCGGCATCATGTGTCACCCTCCGCCGACGGTTCCGTTCCTTTGGTTCCAGTCTCGTCCCATTCACGGACCTTGGCTCAAGCTGAATGACCATACAGTAATGCACACGGTCGCCTGCTCTACCCGCCTAATATCTGATCGCGAGTATGATGCCGACCCTTTACGTTTTCACATGCTGAAAGAGCTATTCTCGGATTGTCTTCCTCGACGTTAAAGATTCCATTCCAGGTATGCAAGACCCGTAAACTTGTATATGCCACGCTCGATTAGGCAACTATGAAGATTGACTCGACTTCATATTTCGAGGGAAAGGAAGGTGTAGCTGGATTCTACGGAGACCTGCGTGGTGGCTATACATTCGTCGTCCTACTACCACTCCTCTTCTCGGTTGTAAGGGATTAGCATCGAACGCAGTGGCGCTGGAGTCATACTAGCGAAAGTTATTTTCCGTGCGATCCATATTGCTTATTTCCGCCATCTACCCGCCAATCGAATATACCGCGCGCGTCCTTGCCCCGCTTAGTACCTGCGGGTCATGCAATTACACAGCAAGGACTTTAAACTCCAACGCATCAACTTGAGACGTCATCAGACCAAGCGCTGAATAGTAAGGATCCTCCTGTCATTTACCCCACATTGATGTACGTAGTATCTCAGTACTCGCTTTAGTCCAAGCCCCGTGCGGTCGTACGCTGCCAGTGCAACAAAACGTTAGACGGAACATCATTATATCATTTAGGACAGCCTCCAGAAAGGGAATACATGTACCCTTCACCCTGCCCTCTATCGTAACACGTGTAGTCCGCTACACCAACAACTCGGTAGAATGTGTTGAACATTCTGGGAATATTTTCAACCTGCAGGTCGCTCGGTGGATGTGCGAGGGAACCCCTCCCGCCCAACCCAGACCAATTCCGCTTTTCGCCCGTTAGGGCCGACCACGTGTGTGCGCTGATGGTTCTTTGTCCACTTCACCGCGGATATAAATATTATACTCATCCGTCAGTGAGCCTTCAGTCAAACCTCAACACTCGGTGGGATAAATCATGCCACAGTGAGAATCTGTTATTCTGTCAAGTTGCAGTTTGGACCTGAATCTTCATGTACCACGCGCACCAGGAGAGCTCGGAGCATCCCACTTTCCCCACAGTCTAAAGTGCGTCATGATGCTCCATCGGCTTAGAATGCCGTACGTACTGTTCCTAGGGTTACACCGCCCATTTGCTGTACTTTGACTCGGAGACTTGAAGCTTGAAACACGGATCACGACTTGAGAACGTACATGTTGACGTTATGTCTTTTCGGAGCATATCCACTCTCCTCGTCCTTGTAACCTGTCAGGCCTCGGACTTGGAGGGTCGCTGAAACACCGTCGGCAAAAGTGCGGCTCATCCCATTACCGGCCATATGTGCCAATGTTTCGGGAGATCGGTTAGGGCGGTCCGAGAATATCTTTCAAGTTAATCATGATATCATGAAACTTGAATTTATGCTCCCGCCTTTGAGTGTCGGGACGAAATCCGGAGAAATGCGAATATTAGCGATGATGTTGCTTTGACGTGACACGGTGGGGATGACGCGGATCGCGGAACCAAATGTCTTATGCAGCGGAGTCCGACGAGACAGGTCATCTAAAGTCTCTGAATCATAACTCAATTTGATCTTCCTATAGACAATGAGCGAAGCGTATAACGCGCCGTGAGGCTGAGGATGAATATTCACGCCTCCGATAAGGGATGATAGACTCTTCATACAATGTGCTAATTAAGATATGATTTATCTATAATATTCGGGGATGGGTCAAGATGGCACAAGGACAAAGCAGTCAAATCAAGCGATCTGAATCACGGTGGTATTGCGTCAAGGACGAAGCGAATATGGCCTCCGCCGAAGTGGCCTGGGGCCCTCGCCTAATATCGATAGGATTCAGACTACAAAGGCTCGTGGCGTATCTAATCTAATTACCTATTAATCCACGACACAGCAGCGAAGGCCCGCGTTGTGCTTGTAGCCGACGTAGATATCAACACGAGGCAGCCATGCGGCAGCAAGCCATACTAATAGTACATGTGTCCAAAATTCATTTACTGTTCTTCAGTTGAACACAGGCACCTTCGCTCATTGCCAGCTCTCTATGGAGGCCAATCAAAGCGGACAATGACGAAGACGCACACGATTGATCGATCTGACGACTGGTGCCAACAAAGCAAGCTAATCGCATGTGTAGATCATGTATGTACGCGGATATAAGGGGACTTGCGCGTGCCTTCGACTGCCTCGTGCCCGGTGACGGGCATACCGGGGCAATTTACGTGCAATGGAGTCTGCCCGGCTGATCGTGGCAACCCCTGGTTTGCGGTGGGGGTACCTGAGAAGGCCGGGACAAATTTTTGTGCAGTAGGACGTCGAGTAAAATGCCCATACATTGTGTGAACAATTAGCATGTGGCCGTGAACAATACTTCAATGAGTCAATGAGTCATTTCAAGACATGTAATCATGCTGACACCACGAGCATTCCAGAATCTGAGTTTACTACAAGTCCTCAATCAATCCTGAATTACTATTTTTGCCACGAGAACCCCAAGACTCACGAGTCATATCCAGCGAACAATGATACACTGTCTGTTCATCACACCTACGCCAGATATATTCCGAGTCAAGTCAAAGAGAAGCGCAAGACAATGAGCGACTCCACGCTGGAATTTGGAAATAGGAGCATGCGGGTTTTGGAAGGTCCATGACTCGGAATCTGCGGTGATAGCGAGGAGAGATGGTAGTGGCTGGTGATGGCAACCTCGAATCTTGAGTGTAGTGTTCTATGAATGCCGTCTGAGGAGTCAGATAGGATATTAATGAGGATTACCGCCTTCTTTTTCGGGGGTGCGGATTGTGACTCGATAGCGAAGAAGGGTCTTCCTTTCTTCCCATTTCGCTATTCCACGGAGTTGAGTGGTTGATTGCCAAAGCAAGCACACTCCCTCTTTGGATATGACAATGGGCACAGCACACGTTCGTATCCAGAGAGGGGCGCAACAGAAACCAGACATCTTTTGGCTGCTATATCACAGAAAGTTGCCAGTCCAAAGGGCGCAAACCCCTTAATTATTCATGCCGCCGGTAAGAAACGAGGGCCCAACCATCGAGTCGCCGACATACGTGGGAAAACATCACCAAGTATTAATTTGTGACGGAGCAGGCAGTGCCACACTCCACACAGATATACCCATTGCAGTGAACAATGTCAGATTTTTCAAAGATCGATTGGGCGCACATGATACGACGTGTCAGTATTTCACAGATGTAACTCACAGTTATGTAGCAGGAGATGCTGCGTCTCCAGTGATCAAAACCAGTCGAATTTAGACAAGCTAGAAGTACTTGGCCTGTCTGACAGAGGACAATGAACATGAAAGTGACGAATCAGAAGAGCCGCGTTGTGACCGGCTGGAACAAGTACTCACTAGTGCTAACCATTTTGCAAATTTGCCACATAGTTGATGAGGGACAGAACGTTAACTGATCATGGCGCCACATCCTGACAAGGCAGCCAGGCTCAGTGGAATCATGATCTTGGACCATAAGAGCATGTAAGGCCGATGTGATCCGATCCGTGACTCCGTAAAACTGTTCCAAATACATTACCGACCAATGGAAGACGTCTGCGGACCTGTAATACTTGCAAAAGCGGCTGCTTCAAAGGCTCATTAGTGCTCGATATGTCTTGTTGAGCGCTGTGAATGATTCGGAGGGTTCTTGGTTCAGGGAGAACAGTGAACGAGAACTCCGTTGGATGACTAAGCCGACGGACGTATGCTGAGATCGAATGTTTTCGTCTGCTAGAACCCATCCATGAACCTTTTCTTACTCCCACCTTCGACGTTCTGAGAAATGTTCCTGTATTTCTTCCAAGACAGGCCTGATTACTACGAACAAGCGTACGACACTCCGAGCTGGCCAATGATTACGGTGTCCAAAGCTTCTTCAGACCAGAACTGTTCTGAAATAAATCACTGCATTTTCCATTGGCCGAACGATTGCATTGCATGCTCATTGGTGAAAAAAACACTATGCGGCTTGGAGCCTGCCCGACGCCTTCTCGATGCCAAGCTTAACGTCACTCGCCAGTGACAGGATGCGAGCGGACGGATCCAACTGTATGTATGTGGCATAACGTACGAACCACTTCTTACGCGTCTTGACTCTCTGTGCTTGATCCAATCAGCAGCGCACCTATACGAGCTTGACAGCTGTGACCTACGGTTTTTTTTCCACGACGAATCCTCATCAGACCGTCGGAACACGACATCGGGGTCAACTTCAATGCTATTCGGGTACTCGAACCGGACTCAACATGCGACACTCCTGGCTTTCATCGATACTAAAATGAATCATAAATGCTCGTCGAGAGCAACCATCTCGAAATGAGGGCTCAACGAGAGCCCATTGAACGGGGCTGGCCGGTGGAGCAGCCAACTTCTTTTTCATAAAACGTCCATTAATGGACATTCAAGGGGAACACCATAACGAGTTAGCGTGGCGGAGTTCTAGCCGGTCACGAATACACGTGTAACATCGCCGCCCCCTTTACCCTGCGAAGATGGCGGGCTCTTCTCTCTTCTCACTGTCCGTCACCGATGACTGCGGTGACTTTGTATTTGCCGGGCTGTCGTTTACGGTGCCGAATGGCATTGTGGGAGTCGGTGTCCTACAGGTCGAAAACGATACTTGTGGTGGTATGCTCACTGTCTTCCTGGCGATATCCAGGTGAATTCAGACGGTGTGCAGGTGTGCTCGCATCAGCTTCTTCCTGATTCTTGCTTTCGCCAGGCAAAATGAGATCACCCAAACTCGAATACTATTGGCTTCGGTGCATGACGGGCCGCGACTCGCATGGCGGTGTCATAGATATTAAAATAGAAAGGTTGCCGCGGATTAATCGGCCGTTTTTTTTAATTGTGTTCAGGTAGCCGACAGTGTTTCAGGAATCAGGCTGGTACTGGCATCTACCTGTTGCTGCCTGCCATGCTCTTCAATACCCAACGAGATAGTTGACCCAATGTAAATTTTCGTCTGCTGTTTAGATTTTTGCCTGAATCGCATTGCAGATATCGGATTCTTGTACTTGACGAGCCCTCCCCACTCGTCCAAGGACCGCGATCCCCATCAGGGGTGCGACGGGTTGGAGAAATCTAGAACCAGTGGAACCACCTGGGAGAAGAGAAGGGATCGATAAGGTTTGATTTGATAACTGTGTAGAAGTGCAACCCTTCATTGATGGGTACCACAGCGTCGGGTCACAATAACTTGAAACAGCGTACGAAAGGCACTTGATTGGCGCCCAATAGAAACCGAGTCGTATGGTCAGTTTGTTAAGATCTTCAAGAGAGACGGCGGCGCTCGGCGCTCGGTTGCTAAGGTATGTAATGATTACGTCAGTCCGATGCATTCTAAGATGCAATGGATCTACAGTATCATTATGCAAGTATGTATTTTGCAATGGACTTCGCCCGACTAACCTATTGGATGATTGACAGTTGAGCGCCTAGAACAGTGCATTCCGGTAAGTTTACGTTCCCTCGACCTAGAGAACATCGGTGAATATCAGCTCGACGGTAAACTTAAGCTTGAAAAGAGTCTAATCGGATAAGCATCCATCTTGTCGATGCCCTACTCTGCACTGCGCTGTGTACATTGCAGACATCAGGTGTGCTAACTCACGTTCACGTTGTTGAACCATGCTGGCGGGCTGAAGTTGTGCGGGGCAAATCCATTAGCACAAAAATGTAATACATCACGGCATTCAATAGTATTCTTCATCAGCCCGTCGCCCTAGGCTGTACAAGAAAAAGGTTTATCAATCAGTATATGGATAAAAATTGAGCAAGAAAGAAATCACGCACCTTGACCTCATCGCCAACCTTACGCACCCAAACTGCTCTGACTGTACCGCCTTCTTTTTTCAAACCTTCGTCCCCCTCATCCCACGTATAACTCACGCCCACTGCCAGACGTGTGCCGTCGCAGTTGAACGCGATACTGGGAATCGCAGACGCATATTTCGGGTACTGCCTCAGCCGTTTTTTGACCTTGTGATCCCAGATGGAGACGGTGCCGTCTGACCCCGCAGAAGCGAATGTATTGTGTCTGATCACATGGTACGAGGAATAAGGGTGAACTGATCAACCACGGTCAAAAAGAACGAGAAGACACATACACTGGGTGAAATGCAAGTGCATTAACTGGCCAGACGTGATCCACATCCTCGATATTTTGTCTGTGGCACTTGAACGCATATTTCTTATCCTGGATTTCTGGACTCGGGTCAAAGTACTCCACGCCGATACGGCCTTCCACAGAGCCGATCGCATAACCTATGAGTGAGTGAAAACACAAAGCACGTTACCCCCCAAACACGAAAGGAATAAGCATGGGACTCACCCTGTCCATCAGCCATGCACGCTAAACTTCTCGTCATGAATTTCAAACTGCTTTCTCTTGTCTGCGCGGGCTCGGACATTCGTCGTACGTCATATATATGGAACAAGCGCGAGGCCATGGAGACGACAAGTGTATTGTTCACTACGTCCATGTGGTAAACACGTTCAGGGAGCGTATGATCCGATACTTCTGCTTTTGGTGTGCGGGGATCCCAGAAACGAAGGGACTGATCCCATGAGCCAGAGATGAGCGCATCTAATAGGTGATAGTTAGAAAAGAATTTAAGAATATAGCAATGAGATACGCACTGATTTCACGTGCATAGGAGAGCGCAGAGACCGAGTTGGAATGTTGACCCAGAGAAGTCACCCTTTCTGTTGTGAGATCAAGCCTGTGAGAAAAGTCAGCGTCCGTCTCAAGTAAATGAAATGGGGATACGTACTCCCGCACACCAGTATCCAAGCATCCACTGTAGGCATGGGTCGAGTCGCCGAACAGACAGGAAAGGACGGCTGCGCGATGGTCAAATTTGGCTTTTTGTTCGTTCGTGGCTACATCATAGAACCGTACAGTCTGGCGATGTGTGGTTAAACCTTAGCCGACGAAAAAGATAGATGGAAGCTCACAGTGTCCCAGGCAGATACCAGGAGATGGTCAGGGTTTGTCGGGGAGAAGCGTACCTGGGATACGCTGTCGAACGGAGGTGATGAGAGTTCCACTTGATCTACACAAGTCCTCAGTGAAATGGATATACATTGCCAAGGAAAAATATATAGACTTACCAGCCATGTACAGAGATACTAGAGCACTGCAAAGAAAGTTATGCGCACAGAGACACAGCCACTACATACACAGGCGTGGTCACGTGAAGACAGTCCGTACGGCTCGGATGAAGCACGTAGCAGATCAGTCGATGATTAATTGATTCGATATCGATTGACGCGAAGTACTATATCCGACTCACACCTGTCGACATGTCAGTGTCCAAGGGCCTAACGTCCCAAGGCCAAACTCCACTACCTATGTACTTGCATATGTCACAGTCTGCGATCAGCATGGTTTCTCTGGCGCTCACTGGCACTAGTACTCAGGCCGCTTGTATTGAAGTCAACTGCAGCAAATATTGCCTCGTCGAGGCTCGGGTCAAGGGTGGCCTGTTGTTATTAAAACGACGTGGGACCCACTCTTTCCCGAACTACCTCAACGGACACCCTACTTCTCACTGACTCTACGTGACTAGCCCGACGAGTACATATAATCAATCGACAGATTCGCCGAGGCCAGTTGCTCCTGCAGAAATTCACACATCCCACGAATGCAATCGCTGTGGAAGGCTCGTGGCTATTGGCCCTGCAGGCAAGGGGAAACTAGCTATCGTTCACACTATCGCTAAATGGTTCCATGACATGGGAGGGTTTGGTTCATTTTATTGTTTCGACTATCACCGAGAAGCCCGCCGTCGCCATGAAAAGGTTTTTTCCACCATCGCCCGCGACCTGGCTGATCATCGTGGTCGTAATAGATGCATTGGACGAGAGTGGCGGAGTCGAAACACGGCGCCATCTTCTCCTTATTCTTGCTGGTAAACTGGTTGTTTCACAAATCACGGACCTCTGCAACCTCGCCATCAATGTCGCGAACCGTGCGACATCGATAACGAGGTTGCAGAGGCTTAGCGTATTCGACGGATGTCCATGGACGACATTCCATCAAAAGTCGCGGAGGGCGACATCCACGCTTACATATCTAAGGAGCTGGAAGGCCCCTCGCATTTTGTAGCAGGGATTTTGATCTAGCTAATAAGACTGACGGCCTGTTCGAATGGGCCTGTCTTACTTTTGAATCCATCAAAGATCCCTTCCTGATGTATCTCCAGTTGTTCGACCTTGTGGCGACCCGCAATCTTGTCCATCGCAGCATACTGTTGCACAATATGTATCACTTCATTTTGACGAAAATCGTATACAGGGACAAACCCGCAAATGCTAGGCACCAGCAGGCTTGACCACGAAGGCGCTTGCGACATTGGACGAATACTGAGCACGGCCGAAGCATTCTCGTTATATTCCCTGAATGCATGTGGCTCCATTTTGCAGACGGAGGCAACCATTACAATGCGGAGGTTGTGGTCAAATGCATGGGTTCCCTCGGCGGTACCACCAACTCGTATATCTCCATCCGCTCCCTTCACGGATCCTTCCACGAATTTCTGACAGACTCAGAGCGTAGTGGAGAGCGTTTCATCGATGTGTCGAAGGTACAACGTGACTTGGCTTTTGCATCACTTCGAGCCATGGTGCATGGACTTTCCTTCAATATCTGCAATCTAAAGTTGTCGTATCTTCCTAATTGCGAAGATCCGGAGCTGTCAGAATTTTAAATGCATTCCCCAATATCTATCCTACTCCTGTCGATTTTTGCCTGCGCACGTACGAACACCAATTTTCGACAACGAACGTCTTCTCTTCTGGATTGAATCACTTGGCTTTATCAACGCGCACAGTGTCGCAGTTGCCGACCTTCCGCTCATCGTCCAATGGCTCAAGGTGAACACATGGTTACTGAATGTCAGAGATCGTGCTTACGCGCAAACGCAGAGCCATTCCGGATTCAAAGATATCTCGCCCATTGCAATGGACATGCAGAGGGTCATTCAAGTCTTTGGTGGCATCATTTAACACAGCACATCACATCTGTACGTATCAGTCTTGTGCGCGGTGCTCTCGATGACCCAGTCATGCAGGAGCTAGCTACAAAGGTGACTGTATATTGTATGCACTTGCGTCATAATGCTAATATATCGCAGGACTCCCGATATCCGGCTCAAATTCTTATCAGGTGGTCTTTCAGTGCAACGAGGATGAGCGTGACGCAACAAACGTGGCCTGCCTTCATTTATATTCTTACTTGATTTGCCCAGGTTTGTGCCTTCAAGTTGACCCAGATCCTCACTGCCCCGTCGTATCATATCAATAACCAAGTATTTGATTGGAACATCGAACCTACGGGCATGGCACTGAGTACTGAAGCTTGACGCGCTGGACCGCGGGAAGAAGAGCGCAATCATCTGGAATCTAGTCGATGTGGTAGTAAACAGTGAAGATCAGGTCATCTCAGACCGCCTCCTTGTCATCATAATGTTTAGGCAGCAACGTACCAATACGAACGAAGAATCAGATTCCTGCATTTGCAGAAATATAACGGGCGAACACATACAACTGAATGATACAGCAATTACACAAACAACAAATCGCGATTTCTACTACAGAGGAGGCCAATAGGACGTCATATTGACATGTGGCCGTAGAAATATGAAAGCCCAGCAAACGAACATACATCGCAACTCCCCCGGATCCCGGCGATCAAGTACTACTGCTGAAGGTCACGAGTCTCCGGCGAATGTCCAATAGGCGTTGTTTTCTTGTTGAGAGCATGATGCGTTTCTGAGCGATAGAAGCATCTTCGCTGACCAACTCGTTCATACGCTCAGAGAAGTTGGGTGCAGACGCAATATCAGTCAGCAAGCTAGTGAGAAGGCTTTGCGAAAGTTGTCCAGCCAGAGCATGATGGAGAGTATGCTCGATCGTGAAAGGAATATGGTCAACGATACGCTGCTCAGGGCAATTTAACACGTTGAAACGGAGATGATGAACGAGACTCACCTTGTAGGCAACGTGAAAATAAGCTCGAACATCAGCCATCACAATTAGCTCTTCCTCGAACGAGTCAGGAGGCAACAACCGTGCAAGATCTGAAACCCGAAGATTTGCATACCCCGCTTCTGCAAGAGCCCTCAAAGCCTTGTCCTCAGGCGTATCTGCCAGTAGAGTCGAAGTGATGCGGGTTTTAGTCTTACTCGACTTTGACTCTGAGGGGACGGTATATGCAGGTGATAGGAATGCTGAGGTCTGCGAAACTATTGGCGAAGAATATTCCTGTCCCCATTCCTTACAATCATTATCGGGACTCGGGCGCTTGGGCGTCTCAGGTCGTGGTGGTACGGGTACCTCATCCTCCCGAATATGGCGAACCTTGTACTGAGAAGGTCTACTCCGAACTGTCTTATAACGTGATAGCCATTTGTCGCGGAGCGTTTGAAGATAGTGCGTGTTCTGAGTATAGTGCGGAGTAGTTTCCAGATCTAACGCTGATTTAACAGCAACTTGGGCGCGAGCCTTACAGATGTCGACCTGAATTCGAATCAGATTGCTGGTGTTACAGATAACTTGAGCCCAGACAATGAACGTGAAGAGTCGACGCTTACCCAAAATAATCCTCAAGAACTTTGAATCGTCCAAAATGGGTGCTTATGAGTGTGTTAATGACTTCATCGAGTACATCGTTGATACCAGCGAGACAGCGCTCAGACGGAGCAACCCAGAGTGTGGTAAATTGAGCGATGAGGTTGGCCTTCGCCTGATATGGCACGTTGTTCGGAAGCTCCCATCCAATTGCCCTTGATGAATGGTTGAGCTATCGTCCAACTGCCACAACAAAACACGAAAACATACTCCTGAATGACCTTGTGGATGTCATTTATTCCTACTACTTTCACGCCAGGATCGCGCTCAGAAAGAGTCATATTTCCCTCTGTATCATCCAGTGGAACATAGTGTTCCGGATGACTAAAAGGCCTAAAATCGGGGGCAGTGCCACGTATGTCCCTCTTGAAAATGGCATAGAGAGTGCGATTCCGCTGCGCAAGACATTTGTCTTCGTGACTGCCATTCACGAATCTCTTGAAGACATCGCAGAACGTATTCACTCGTCCTAAGACCTCGATTTGCGGGTCATTTGCAAGTGGCGGCGGCAGTTCGTCGAGGTCCTTGATACATTTGGCAAGGAGCTTGTCGACATCATCTCTAAGACACGGTAAACTGTAGACCATGTAAGTAATTTATGACGACCCAGTTAGAAGGTCTACGCACGTTTCTTCGATCAATTGAATGAGCAATCGGCTGACATCAGAAACAAAGCCTGGAATTCCAAATCGATGACGGTCGGTTACGTCCTTCCAAGGCGACGTCGTGTCGAAATATTCAGCGGCACGCCTTTGCGATTCAGCACGAGACAGGCGTTGTGCACGTTCGGCGTCATCGGGAAGACGCACGCAGTAAAAACCGTGCCTCAATGTGTGATCCTCTGAACGACCCTCGATGATTTCTACCCATTTGCGGCGCTGGTTGATAGCCCCGGCACCGAGCGTGTCAGGTTTCGTAAGTACGCCTAAAGAGGTTGAATTATTGACTTATACTACGGTATGGGTGACTTGCCAATTGTCCGCTTGCCATCAGGATCTGCGGCCCTGGCGAGACTCATGGATTGTTGGTTTTCCATATCGTCTGGCATGGCACCCATCAATTCAGCAGAACAGGATTTCGCAATTCATACACGTACCGCTCATGGGAATTGTGGTCAATATGATGGTGTTTTCTTTCTTGGTATAATATTCCACTAAGTTCTTCACCAAGGTGACGATTTCGGCTTCCTCGTTTTGTATCAAGCCTTCGCTGCTCGTCAGATATGCCACCTCGATTTAGATGAGCATATACTTACCCGGTAGATCATAGAACGACAGGTCAGTCGCATCGGGGTCTTCAATTGAGACGCACACCACGTTGCGAGAGAACTTTAATGTATTTTTCATGTTCCTAAGTTCCTCGATAGTTTTTGTGTGGAGAGTCGAAGAAGAGATGTCCGGGTTCAAAATAGCCGCCTGAGCACGACGCAGCCAAACTTCAAATTCACTTTTGTCTGTGATCGTTTGGCCAAAGGGCACATTAGTAGGTTTTTGGAGGTCCCGGCCATTACGATCAAAGCCGATACGTAGGGTGATAGTGCAGGACCACGATGAAGTATGACTGGACATTGTACATTCCATAGGGCATCTGCATATGGTAGTATGAGCACATCTATAATAACTGATGGTGGTTAGTAGGATCACCTTGTACATGTTCCGCTATCTCTTGGGACGTTGATCTTTATCGTAATGAAAAATGAATAACGGGACAAAAGGACAAATTGTCTGTTGACGTACCCCACTGACGGCTTCGACGAGCGAGCTTTTGCCCGCTGAAATATCAAATTTAATATAGCTGTAGTTGCAAATGTAGGCGACGACAAACCGGATTGACCACCAATTACGACCACGGATGGCAAGTCAATCAGCGCGTCGGCACTGTAAGAGGTAGCATGAGTGATATCCTTATAGACATATCCACAAACACCCACCCCATTGATCGGAGGTCAACCATCATCTGAATCAGCTCGCTTCGCCTACGGGCATAGTCGGTGGACGATATGTCCACTTCCTCCCATGTCTCTAGAGGGCTCACGGAACCAGCGATGAAGGGAAGGGACGTTCCCAGAAGAGAGGACTCTGTGATTGAGGCTGCTTGTCTGCGTCTATTGTGCAGTAAATCCATGGTAGATGGGATGTAAGAAGTGTGTTCGACACAACATCCAAACGACCTCTGTTTTTATGCGCCAGCGCTCGATTTAGTGCCTTCGGATGTCGCAAGCACAGCAACCGCACCAACGCATCTACTGGCGATTGGGTGCATCGACGGCGATCCAAATGCGAAGTAACATTACGACACAGAAGATCTGCAATGACCTTTTTGGCAAGAAGTTCCAGTCATTTCGGTGAGTCGCATCCGTGGACATGATTGGACGTTGCCGCTGTGTAACTTACAATTTTTTTCGTTGTTCAGGTGCGCTTGTCCTTGAAGTTGTTGCCACGACGCTCGTCTTTAACTTATTCACATTGTCCTTAACATTGGACAAGGCATCGGACAGAAAGCCATCGAGAATGGCTGATGAAAGGATCCAGGAAAAACCTAAAGTTTGGAAAGAATATTAATCATGTCTGAGTCAGTCTCTTCTCTCCTAGCAAATATTCCTATTACATCACCGCGATTCAGAGCCTGTAATTCTTATATGTCTTTTAAGTTACAGCAACCATGGCCACCGGCATCGTCAGGAACGGTGACAGCCCAAGATTGAATATTGAGGCTTGAAGCACCTGCCATGTGACATCCTGCTCCGTCCGTGTAGGAAGTGGTGATTTATGGACTGCGTCGCTGCAAAGTTGACTGTGGGCGCGATCAGACCACCACTCCCTACACCTAAGTTACATAGTATCGATTCGAATCAAAACTCTCATGGTGCAACGCGAAGTACTGGTCGTTCCTACAGGGGTTCTAGGTTAGACCGAGTATATACTAATCAATATTGTGCATACCGATTCGAATCATTTGAGTGCCGCAGGGAAGAGGAAGTTGTATGGCCAGCCCGAGCCTCCATCGAATTTCAATACCGCCGCAGATACTAGCACACTGGGCGCAGTGGGGACGGTGGTCGACCTCTCCCACCTCGGGTGGCAAGCATAATATGCAGTCCATCACGGTTACCCTAGCAGCAGACGAGCATCTGGACTCGCCGGAGGAGGCAGGCTAGTCAATCCGAGGCTAGACCATTACGAGCGACTATTCTTCGTCTCGTACCAAATAGGGGTGATAGTTTTTGGATTTCACTTCCTACCCCATAATCACGAGCGTGTTGTTCACAGATGCACAGCGATAGTGACGACTGACAGCTCAAAAACGACAGACACGAGTTCACCCGATCCCCGCAACGCTCTTGTTCTCGCCCGGATCCTCTGTTATAGACAGGATCTTCCGAGTCGGGATATAAAAACGAAGCCGCTTTTCTGGTACGTCATGCAGCTAGTTATAACTGGGCTCTGCTAGAGACTATCAAGGGGGATTGAAATACTCAGACCTTGGCCCACTCAGAATTTTGGATGCATACAGTAACCATATGCGTGATGAGCAACGTCCAGTTTGTTTGAGTTCCGGGTTATCTGAGCGAATATCAAGTCAGGGAAACCAGTGACTGAGAAGCGCATGATGTAGGGCTAGTGCGATACGTGAACACTTGCGAAGAATTTTGGCAATGGCCGCGATGATGATCGTGCCGTAGCCATCGAGTGCAACGTTCTGCCAGAAGAACCTGGTAAGAGAAACCTCGTAGACGCAATAACGGCCTCGCTTATGGATTATGAATTTGTTGGCGGCGTTCCCCGACACCCAGGAGAGGGTTCTGTAATGACATGCCAAGCCATGCCGTCTGTCATTTCATGCGTGGAAAATTCATTCCGGTGACCGATAATCATGCTAATGGTCATATGTTGGTCATCGACGGCTGCACGTTTATGTAGGTGTAACTCTGCCTGTCGGTTCTGGATCTGAATGTTCATCGTGATTTCCTCCTCACTTACAGCACTGTTCATCGATGAATGAATGTAGGAGGTACCAGAGACCCTGCTGGCCATAGTATACATTGTCCAGATAACTGGCGGCCAAACAGCCCAGAATGTTCGCGATGCATATTTGGTTTGACATTTCACGGTACGACAAATTTGAATCAACTTGCACTGGCGACCGGCACTCGTATAGATGGAGTTTAGGGTAAGCCGGAACCTCCAGCTCAATGCTCGGGCCTGAAATTCTATCCAAATACAAATGTGTCGGGGACTGGCGCGGCCGAGCGCCGAGGTTCTGGTTAGAGGTCCGACATACGTACGTTAAACCGAGCAGCGAGTCATTGACACAAATGGTTACATCATGTACCAAACTCAGGTACTTATTACTTACGGCCAAGGCCAAACTCAACTATATATCAGGTACTCATTGCTTCCAATGTACGTCTTTCCGAGCACCATTCGGGCTTTCTGGACCCCACTCCGTGGCGCTCATCTAACGGTTCTTGGAGTTCTTGAGGTGATACCGCAGCAAATGCTATGCGGGCCTCGAGGCAAGGGCATGGTGTTATTTAATGTACGTGGCATTCTCTCTTTCTCAGACTCTAACCCCTTCAACCAGCACCCTACCGTTGCTGATCCTGATCGTTAATAATAATTCATCATGAATGAAGACAATCAATCGACAGATTTGAGCCCAGCTCCTCCTCCAGAACTTCGCACACCCGGCGCAATCGCTGGCAAAGGCTCGGTACGTGGCTCGTGAAGATCACCTTCTCATGCACTTGAAACGCTATCTTAACTCTGATGCATCTTTCGTTTAGGGCCGATCCCGCGGCAAAGTCAGTCGATTTCTGGGAAAGTTCAAAAGTGGTATAAAAAGTATATCTGTGAGTCGAAGGGGATGCCTCTAGCGTCTGGAATAACGCTGAAATCGTGATAAAGTGCACAAATGATTCCCACAACCACAACCCTATTCTCTCAAACAGTGATCATGAACGTGTTTCCATCGATCCCGAATATCCAGGTAGGTGCTCAATCTTCCTCTTCAGCCTCTACACTCTGTCTAAATTTCAATGGTCATGCAGAATCAGGTTGCCCCCAGGTCTCCTGTTGTGGACCAAAGTGTTGATCCCCAATCAGCACTTCAAATCGCCAAAGAATATGCACAGCGCATGCATCCACTCTCGGGACATGCGCAAACTGTGGCGTCTGCTACCCAAAATGCGCCAGCGGGTCTCGATACTGCAGACAATCTCGCGGCCACATATCTCCAACCACTCAGGATATTTGACACTGTTATTGGGAAGATAGCAGATGTATGGACCCTTCCTCTCGATACGAAACGAACTAATTACGTTCCATAGGTACATCCATATGCAAAGATGGCATTGGGCGTGTTGTCTTGTGCATCACAGGTATGTCTAGCTTCGTGCTCACCCCTATTTCACTTAGCCGTCATTCGTGTAGATCATTCTTGCTCAGGCGGATCGCGATAGATTGGTGTTTCAGCTTCTCAAGAAATTGGGTCAGGTTTACGGCTTTATGGCACAAGACGAGACACTTGGTCAGATCTCGTCGATGCGTGCTATCGTCGGACAGATCTCTCAACAAACCCTTGAATGTGCGCATTTTATTAGTGATTATTCAGAGAGGAAGAACTTTTGTGAGCTCTAATAAGTCATTGCGCTTTGCATGTTCTCAACCTTTTGCCATTGTCACAGGGATCAGACTCGGAAAGAACGTCATCTCGGAAACAAATGATACAATTCAGAAGTACAATAACGTGTTGGATACACTGATGCAAAATTTTCGCGACCAAGTCATTCGGGACGTAGCCCTCTTCATTCACCAAACAGGTAAGCATTTTGTGCGTCGATTTGACATCTATTCATGTCTCTTCAGGTGATGAAGTGAACCTCAGCGGTATGACTTACGCGGCGGGCGCAGGACTAGATACCACAAAACAATGTCTCCAAGGGACGCGCACGGAAATCCTCTCCCAGATCACGGACTGGGTCAACAGTACTGGAGACGATGTTCCGCGTGTGTTGTGGCTATCCGGCCCTGCGGGCAAGGGAAAATCAGCCATCGCCCACACTATCGCTACTTGGTTCCACGACGCTGGAGGGCTTGGTTCATGTTATTGTTTCGACCGTCATCGAGAAGCAGACCGTCGTCATGAAAAGGTCTTTTCCACCATCGCGCGCGACCTGGCTGACCGTGATTCGGGAATGAAACGAGCATTAGCAGATGCAGTTCAGGCTGAGAGCGCCCTCAAGAACACAGTGGATATTGTTCAGCAGTGGCAAAAGCTTCTGATGGAACCATTAGGGAAGCTTTCAGCGTCAAATGTAGGGCCCGTTGTGGTCGTGATCGATGCATTAGACGAAAGCGGCGGTGTCGAGACACGTCGCCACCTTCTCCGTATTCTTTCTGGGAAAATAGCCGTTCCTCGAATCGGAGATCTCCCACATAACTTCAGGATCATCATTACCTCTCGCCCACTCCCTGACATTGAAGCTGAGCTTGCAGGTGCTCAGCACATACGACGGATGTCCATGGATGACATTCCAGCCGCAGTCGCAGAGCACGATATCCATGCCTACATATCCAAGGAGTTGGAAGAGTTGGATTTTCAGGACAGAGAGTTTGCAGTCCTCGCTGAGAAAGCTGATGGACTTTTCGAGTGGGCTCGTCTCGCCTGCGAATACATCAAAGAACCCCTCGCTGGATTATCTTCAATCGACTGCTTCGACGCTGTGGTGTCACGCGATCCTGCTGAGAGAAGCATGCTGTTGTACGACATGTATCGCCTCATTTTAACAGATATCTTGCAGAAGGATACATCTACCAACGTGCAGTATTCGCAGAAACTGCGTTCGACGGCAATAGCGAGATTTCGCTCAGTGATGGGACAAATATTGGGCACGGCTGAACCCCTTCCATTAGCTTCCCTGAATGCCATGAGGTGCCATTTTCCAATGCAAGAGGATCATTACGACGTGGGGCTTACACTAAAACGCATGGGATCCCTCCTTAGCGGCACCACCAACCCAGATTCCCCAATCCGACCCCTTCATGCATCCTTCCGCGATTTCCTGACGGACCAACCATGGAGTGGAGAGTTTTTCGTCGACGTGCCGAAGGTGCAACGCGACCTTGTATTTGCGTCACTTCGAGTGATGGAACGTGGCCTTCGCTTCAACATCTGTGATATGAAATCTTCGTACCTTCCTAATTCTGAAGATGCAGGGCTGCGAGAACGAATTGAACAACGCATCCCCCCTCACCTATCCTATTCCAGTCGATTTTGGATGGCACACGTACGAACAACAGTATTTGACATGGAACTCGCGCAAGAAATAAAATTGTTCTTCGACCACGAGCGACTGCTGTTTTGGATCGAGTTGCTCGGCCTTATCAACGCGCTCAGCGGTGCAGTTTCCGCCCTTCCGCTCATTGCTCGGTGGCTGAAGGTGAGCACATGTTTATTGGATGCCAGACAAAGTTTTCATGCACAAACGCAGGGTTATTCCGGACTCAGAGATATCTCGTCGATTGCAACGGACGTGCAGAGGTTCATCCAAGTCTTCAGCGGCATCATTTTACACAGCACACCACATTTATATGTATCAGCACTCCCATTCTCGCCTGCCGACTCTCCGCTATCGCGAAAATATTCCGCACGGTTTCCGAGTACACTTTGTGTGGCATCTGGACGTCATATGAACTGGCCAGCTGTCCAGAACGTGCTCAGGGGGCACACTGGTCCGGTTAGGTCAGTCTCATTCTCGCCGGATGGCACCCGCATCGTCACTGGTTCTTGGGATAACACTATTCGGTTGTGGGATGCAGCGACGGGACAGCCAGTTGGTGAGCCCTTGCTGGGGCACACTGATAATGTTAGTTCAGTCTCGTTCTCACCCGACGGTGCTCGCATCGCGACTGCTTCTTGGGATAACACTGTCCGACTGTGGGATGCAACGACCGGGCAGCCAGCCTGTGAGCCCTTGCGTGGACACACTGAACGAGTTTCGTCAGTCTCGTTCTCTCCGAATGGCTCTCGCATCGTGACCGGTTCCTATGATAAAACCGTCCAGTTGTGGGATGCATCAACAGGCCAGCCGGTCGGTGGACCCCTGCGGGGGCACACTGAAATCGTTACATCAGTCTCGTTCTCGCCGGATGGCACTCGCATCGTGACTGGTTCTCGGGACAACACTGCCCGGTTGTGGGATGTAGCGACGGGACTACCAGTCCGTGAGCCCTTGCTGGGGCACACTAAAGTTGTTAGCTCAGTCTCATTCTCGCCGGATGGCACTCTCATTGCGAGTGCTTCCTACGATATGACTGTCCAGCTGTGGGATGCAATCACAGGCCAGCCAGTCGGTGAGCCCTTGAGGGGGCATACTGACGCGGTTGCATCAGTCTCATTCTCACCGGACAGCACTCGCATCGCGACTGGTTCTTGGGATCGCACTATCCGGCTGTGGGATGTAACGACAAGGCAGCCAGTTGGTGAGCCCTTGGAGGGGCATACCGATTGGGTTCACTCAGTCTCATTCTCGTTGGACGGCACTCACATCGTTACTGGTTCTCGAGATAAAACTACGCGGCTATGGGATGTCGCTACAGGTCAGCCAGTCGGTGGGCCATTGCGTGGCCACACTAAACGAGTTGCCTCGGTCTCGTTCTCACCGGACGGCACTCTCATCGCGACTGCTTCTTACGATACAACTGTCCAGTTGTGGGATGCAGTGACGGGCCAGCCTGTCGGCGAGCCCTTGCGGGGACACACTGCAGTGGTTTCATCAGTTTCATTCTCATCGGATGGCACTCGCATCGTGACCGGGTCTTGGGATCACACTATCCGGCTGTGGGATACAGTGACAATGCAGCCAATCGGTGAGCCCCTGTTGGGGCACACAAATCTTGTTAGCTCAGCGTCATTCTCTCCGGATGGCACTCGCATTGTGACTGGTTCTTGGGACAACACTATTCGGCTGTGGGATGTAGCGATGAGACAGCCTATCGGTGAGCCCTTGCTGGGGCACACTGGTCCGGTTAGGTCAGTCTCGTTCTCGCCAGACGGTGCTCGCATCGTGACTGGTTCTTGGGACAATACTGTCCGGCTGTGGGATACAACGACCAGGAAGCCAGTTGGTGATCCCTTACTGGGGCACACTGGCGTGGTCACATCAGTCTCGTTCTCTCCGGATGGCACTCGCATTGCAACTGGTTCTTGGGACAACACTGTTCGGCTGTGGGATGCAACAACGGGACAGCCAGTCGGTGAGCCCTTGCTGGGGCACGCTAATTATGTTAGCTCGGTTTCGTTCTCACCGGATGGCACTCGCATCGTGACCGGTTCTTGGGATACCACTGTCCGGTTGTGGGATGCAACAACCGGGCAGCCCCTTAGCGAGTTGCGAGGGCACACTAGTGCTATTAGCTCAGTCTCATTCTCACCGGACGGGGTTCGCATCGTAACTAGTTCTTGGGACTCTACTGTAAGGCTGTGGGATGCAGTAGTTGGCCAGCCCTTACAACAGTGTGCCGAGTTACATCCTACAACATTCCCAGATGAATATCCCATGCACCCCATCGAAGTCACCACTACCATGACACCCAGCACTCGGAGTGACCACCTCATTCGCTTCTCGTCCAACTCTACCCACGCGCTGTGCAATACAGCCGAATTAATGGAGGGGTCATCCCATGATGACTATAGTTCAACGATCTCGACCCCCTTTGTCCTGAATCATGACAGTGGGTGGGTGGTAGGACTCAATCGCCAACTCTTGTTCTGGGTACCACCTGCTTCTCGACACGCATTTTATTGCCCTCAGACTGCATTAGTGGTACCTAGAGGAGGTCCAGAGCTTGATTTATGCCGTATGGCACATGGACAACACTGGGCAAAGTGCCGAGAAGAGTGAGTCTCTTAGAAGCCTTTTCCTGCCTTCAACCCTTACTTAAAAACACTTGTAGACCTTCATCACGATGATCTTATTCCAGTAATTTTCGATATGGAGATTTCAGATACAATGCAATGTCGAGTGTATAGTTGATTGTTCATTATCTATTTTATACATATCTGGAGTCTGAGTTTAGGGTCGTCTGAGTGAACGACTTCTGAAAAGCTATGTGACACTCATCATGCTCCAACGACTCGTCAGAGCACGCGTACCTAGGAGTCGAGTGTAGAGTCTATTTATACCCATTTGTGCTTCCTCGCAGCGGATCGAAAAGTTGAAAGAACTCAAGAAGGCTGGTACTGCGGAAAGGTTTTAATATTTGTGGTCGTTGCTCTTATTGCATCTGGGACAAGTGGGTCTAATCCTGCGAGAACTGGGTGGGACAAATGTGTAGTCCATTGTGTAGGACAACATGCGAAACGACCATGGTCGCGGCACACATGTGTACAGAAGAAAGGTGGTGAACACAAGAGCACCACGAGAATGACGCACGTAAAGATATGCGAGAAGTGAACAAGCGGGACAAGGAGATAAATGATCCCTCGACAGATGCAAGCAAACGGGGGACAAAATCCAGGGAATTGAGGCAAAGCGAGTATAAAAGGGTATGGATATTGGGCACAGCTCGATCTCGTACTCGTTAGGGACCACGAAATGGAGTTTGAAGAAATATCAAACTCGAGTTCCTGCTAGGACAACGTGAAAATATATGCATTAGAACAGATTACGAGAGACGCGCACGTAGTAGTACATACGAAGCCACGGGAGAACGCTCATAATAGAGCAACTACTACACGTACATCGTAGCTATTGTGTG